AACAGGCTGACTCCAAGGTCTGAGAAGTTGGCAGTATCCAATAGTTTCTAGTGAGTTACTAGTAAGTAACTGGTTTTGTTAAGAATGAAATAAAACATTTTTTTCTCTTGTAGGCATACAATTTTCAAGTGGTTTAGTTGTTAGGACATAAATACTTAAGTTACTTGGATCTATCTATTTAATAAAATAAATGGCTAGGCATGGTAGTATATGCTCAGCACTTTGGAGGTGAAGGCAGGAGGCTCAGAAGCTGATGACATATTGAATTCAAGGCCAGCCTGGGCCACATAAGATTCTTAAAAACCCAAAGGCAAATACACAAACAAATGAGCAAATAAATAACTGGAACTGTTTTGACTCATGTTGTCTGTGAAAAATTTTTATTTAAAAATTTTAAATTTCATTTTTATTATTGTGAGTGTTCATGATGTATCAGAGATAAGAGACACAGATAGAGACAGATAGTTTAAGAATGAATGCATTTATATATGCACCACAGCATGTTTGTGGAAATCAGAGGACAAATTTTGGGAGTCTGTTTCAGGATGATGGAACTCAGGTTGTCAGGCCTACATGACAAACAACTGTACACACTGAGACACTCTGCCATGCCCCCAAATTGAAACATTATAAACTGTGAAGTTCAGGATATCTTGCCTGCTCTGATTTCTAACTGGGAGTTTCTCTTTCCAACACGAGCCCACATACCACACCATGTCTTTCCTCCTACTTGTCATTTTTACTTACTGGTCATTAGAACAAGTAGAAGAGCAAGGTGTGGTGGCTCACACCTGTCATGTCAGTACTGAGGAGACAGACAAGAGGATCACTGCCAACCTAGGTCATTCTGGGCTACAACACAACAAGAAACAACTGTATGTCAGGGTGGTGGTATCACTCGCCTTTAATCCCAGGACTTGGGAGGCAGAAGCAGGCAAATCTCTGAGTTCAGGGCCAGTCTCATCTATAGAGTGAGTTCCAGGATGGTCAGGGCTACACAGAAAAACCTTGTTTTGAAAAACCAAAAAAATACACCAAACCAAACAAAAAACTATATGAATAAAATCAGTTTCTCAAATTTTATGACATAATTTTATAGTAAAAAGACTTCCTGCCACAGACCAACAAATGCTGTTTTCTATTATCTTTTTTTTTGTTTATTTGTTTGTTTTCTATTATCTTTAGAAGCTAATTAGTCATTAGGCCTACAAGTACAGAGCTGTTTCCTGACGCTGCCATTTCCTGGCTATATAACTTTGGTCATGCCACTTCCCTAACCCTTTGCTGTCTTAGTTCCTCACCTGTAATACAGGTATAGCAGTACCAATCTTTTTTTTTTTTTTAAAGATTTATTTATTTATTATGTATATAGTTTTCCATCTGCACATATCCCTGCAGGCCAGAAGAGGGCACCAGATCTCATTACAGATGGTTGTGAGCCACCATGTGGTTGCTGGGAATTGAACTCAGGACCTTTGGAAGAGCAAGCAGTGCTCTCAACCTCTGAGCCATCTCTCCAGCCCAGTAGTACCAATCTTATAAGATGTTCTGCAGATTGTAAGAATTAGCAAATGTAACTTATTTGGAACAGTATAGATGGCACACAGTAAGCACAAGCATTGGCTATCATCTCCATGAGAGGTCTCAGTTCAGGAAAACATAACTTAGTCATTACCTCTCTTCCACATCTTCACTAATGCGGTTCTGTAAACGCCGAAGTCGGGGGTCACTGGATGAATCCTCTTCCTGCTCCTCAGGTTCTGCTTCTTGTTCCTTAGCTTTCTTAATGAATTGAAATTCTTCATCCTCTTCATCTGAGGACTCCATAGGGGCATAATCTGGTCTCTTTCCAGACACATAACGTTTTACCTTCACTTTTTCCATTGAAATCTCACCTGAACAAGAAAGGTAATTTATGTTTCAGTAACCTCTTTCCCAATTCCCTTCAACTCTTGGCCTTTGGAGATAGAACCCTGAGTTCCCAATGGACCAGAGTCTAAAGAGGATACGACAGCTATTATCCAACTACATATTCATCTTTCAGTGCTTTCCTATAAAGACTATGTCTTGAGAAGGCATTTCATGAATACCAACATCAAGACATCAAGAGGTACCCTGGGGACAATGAAGCAGGGGACTGTGAGCAGTGAAACGGCATAAAAATCCCCCTACAAATTCAAGCTTTGTCATCTCAGCTCTCAATGGTGACCTGAATGAGAATGTCCCCCACAAGCTCAGATGTTTGGACCCCTGGTTCCCAGTTGGTGGTGCTATTTGAGCAGGTTTAGGAGGAGTAGCCTTGTTAGAGGAAGTATGTCACGAGGGGTGAGCTTTGAGGTTCCAAAGTCATGCACCAGTCCTACAGCAGTGCCTGTGTATTCGCACGCTCTCTCTCTCTCTCTCTCTGTCTGCTTTGTGCTTGCAGTTCAAGGTATGAGGCCTCAGCTTTCTGTTTCTGCTGCCATGCCTTGCTCTGCCTCCATGAACTCTAATCCTCTAAAATCATAAGCCCAAATAAACTCTTTTATAAATTGCCTTGGTCATGTGATTTATCACAACAACAGAAAAGTAACAAATGCACTCTTATTAAACAAATTCTTAGTAACAGTGCCCAGCACATTAGCAAGAGTAATTTAAGTGGCAACATAAAACTAAAATATCACTCACACACATTGTGTGTGTGTGTGTTTTGTTGTTGTTGTTTTGGGAGAAAGGGTTTCTCTGTGTAGCCCTGGCTGTCCTGGAACCCACTCTGTAGACCAGGCTGGCCTCAAACTCACAGAGATCCGCCTGCCTCTGCATTCCGAGTGCTGGATCAAAGGCATGCGCCACTACTGCCCAGCTCACTCACACATTTTTTTTTTTAAAAGACCTCTCTGAGATTTTTTCGTGTGTGTGAGTGGTGTATGCACATGTATGCAGATGCAGAGGGGATAGAAGTTGACTCAGGAGCCTTTATCATTTTCCACCTTATTTGTAAATCAAAATTTAAAAAGATTTATTATGTGTATGACTGTTTTGGAAGCATGTATAAATGCATGTTACGAAGTCAGAAGAGGGCTTCAGATTCCATGGAATAAGAGCTATGGATGACTGAGCCACACAGTCCTCTGTAAGAGCAACAAGTACTCTTAAACACTGAGCCAATCTCCAGCCCAAACATCTTTTTTTCAGAGACAGGGTTTCTCTATGCAGACTTGGCTAATGTGGAACTGGGTAAGTAGACCAGGCTTGCCTCAAACTTACAGAGATCTGTCTGCCTCTGCCTACTGAATGTTGTGCTTAAAAGTGTGTGATATCACACTCAGCCTTTTTTTTTTTTCTGAAACAGTCTCTCACTGAACTTGATGTTTGCTGTTTCAGCTACATTAGCTGGCCATCAAGCCTAAAAGACCCTCCCTCTCTTCTCTTCTCACTACAAAGGGTTATAAGCTTGTGTTGCTTTTACATGGATGCTAGGGGTCTGAACTCTGGCACAGTAAGCAAAGCTATCTCCCTAGCTCCTCCCGCTGAGATGTTATGATAGCCTTTACAACATAGCAATATTCTTTTTTTTTCCTTTTCTTTTTTTCTCGGAACTGAGGATTAAACCCAGGGCCTTGCGCTAACAAGCGCTCTACCACTGAACTAAATCCCCGAACCCCCCCCCTTTTTTTTTTTTTTTTTCCGTGACAAGGGTTTCTATGTGTAGCTTTGCGCCTTTCCTGGAACTCACTTGGTAGCCCAGGCTGGCCTCGAACTCACAGAGATCAGCCTGGCTCTGCCTCTGGAGTGCTGGGATTAAAGGCGTGTGCCACCACCGCCTGGCTCATAACAATATTCTAATTTTATCAATTTCTACCTTCTTTTCCTCTAGCTCTTATGCTGAGCCAGATATCTCTTCTAAAACACAAACAAGTTGGAGCTGAAGGGATAGATGGCTCAGCAGCTAAGAGTACCTGCTGCTCATGCAGGGGACCTGGATTCATTTCCCAGCATCTACATGCAGTCTGTAACAGTTGGATACTCCAGTTCCAGGGGATCCTATGCTCTCTTCTGGCCTCTCTGAGTACTGAATCCACATGGTGGCATACATACACGCAAGCAAAACATTCATACACATAAAAATAAACAAAACAATTCCAGAGACTAGAAAGAGAATGAAAACAAATCAAATTATTTCATAACATGAGGAAACCCTTATCATCAAACTGGGCAAATCAAAGGTAGCTTTGGATATACACACAAAGACCTCTGCTCGCGTTTTCCTTATATTTTTGTCATTGTTTTGGTTGTTGAGTTTAGCCTTTAACGGCTGAACCATCTCTGTAGCCCTATTTTTAACGATGCTGTGTGTGGATATGTGCGGGCGCCGGCAGAGGCCAGAGGTGTCAGATCTCCCTGGATTTGGGGTTACGGGTGGTTGTTGAGTCGCCTGATGTGGGTGCTGGCAACTGAACTCGGGTCGTCTGGAAAAGCAGAATGTGCTCTTAACCGCTGAGCCAGCCACCTCTCCAGCCTCCTTTACTTTTTACTTTGAGAGAGGACCTCACTAAGTCGACCCACATCCTCCAATCTCTAGGCTACATGCCGGGGTGAGAATTTAGGTGGGACAGAGGAAGAAACTGAGGTTAAGTCTTCAGGGTCATCAGGGCTGATATGGCCGACCTGAGGCAGGTTTGAGGGATACTGAGGCTGAAAGAGTAAGATCAGCCTGGAGGGGAGGGGGGCCAGTACCTTTCTCATTGCGAACTGGGACGGCCCCAGCCGTAGACTGAATGGGCGGCTGCTTCATGAGTGCGTTCGGGACCGACATGGTGATGGCTGCGGTGAAGATCCCCAAAATTTGATGAAATCCCGGCAACGAAGTCCAAGGAACACAACACCGTTTTCCAACTAGCTCCGCCAGACACTGCTGCGCGACTGACAGAAACGACTTCCGGCAGAGCTAGAAGAACCGGAAATACACAAGCAGAGGATTGTGGGATTTGGGAGGAACGCTGAGCGCGGGACTGCTTAAAGGGCTAGACTGAAATTTGCGCGTCTCCGTAGGCAACTTTCCCGCCTTCAACCTCTCAAGATTTGGAAGCTCCTTCTGGCGGGCAGTTGCTTCCTTGGGGTTTTGGTAAGGCTCAGGAAGGTTCGGATGAAAGGTTCTATTTGTTATGTTTTGAAGAAACCGAGCAGATAGTGAGGGGCTGTTTGTGCATGTTGTTAAAAGCTCCGAAGTGTAAAGAGTGTGAGCCAGATATGAGGATCATGCTTGTAATCCTAATATGTGGGAGGCTGAAACAGGATTACTGGGTTTTGGAGGCAGCCTGGGCATCAGAATGAGACCCTGCCTGAAAAAAATCCCTTAGGGGCCATCTGTTGGCTGGAGCACACGCCTTTAATTCTAGCACTCTGGAGGGAGGCCGAGGCAGGCGGATCTCTGAGAGATTGAGGCTAGTCTGGTCTACAAAGTGAAAATTCTGGAAGTACTTTATTATAGAGGACCTTGAAGGTGCTACTAATATAATTATCAAATTATTTCACTTGTTTTCTACAATTGGGCCCTTGCTGGGTGAAGACAGGAAATTGGCAAACTTTAAGTAGTGAGGATTTACAATTAACGAAACAAGGACGAAACCTTAGCACTAGAAAGGTCTTAAAGGACGACCGAAAACAGAAATCTTTGTTCTTCCTTTAATTTTGGGACTGTTTTGCTCCATTGCCCAGGCAGGTTGGTTTTTTTTTTTTTTTCTTTTGCCTCCAAGTTGGTTTTTGTATGTTTTTCACTCTTTATTCCTGAGTAGCTGGGTTTCCGAACACAGACGTGTCACTTCGCTGGGCGCAGAATTTTTATATTATGAACTCATTAGCTCGGAAATGTATGTTTCTGAGCTGGAGGTGCAGTTCAGTAGTAGAACACTTGCCTGTTCTCAGTGAGGCTTAGCTTGGAGTAGGGAGTTCCGTAGGGAGTAAATGTGGATGGGAAAGATAATTGTTGTGGTTCATGGCAACTCAAGAGACTTATGAAGAAAAGGCTTAATAAGGTCCTGACTTTATGAAAGACAGTGTTTGGAAATCTTATTAGGTAATGCCCATATTTTTTTGGAGACAGGGTTTCTTTGTGTAGTTTTGGTGCCTGTCCTGGATCTTGCTTGGTAGACCAGGCTGGCCTCAAACTCACAGAGATCGGCCTGGCTCTGCCTCCGGAGTGCTGGGATTAAAGGCGTGCGCCACCACTGCCCGGCGCTCTCTCTCTCTCTCTTTTTTTTTTTAACTTGTGATAGTCTTATGTATCCCCACCTGGCCTCTAACTCTCAAGGTAATGGAGGATGACCTTGAATTCTGATCCTCCTTCGTTCACCTGCCTAGAGCTGAGATTACAGGTGTGGGTCACCATGCCTGGTTTTATGTGGTGCTGGGGATAGAATTCAAGGGCTCTGTGCTGCGTTCTAGGTTCTCCCGAGTCCTAGCAGTTCTGCTGAGTTACATTCCCAGCCTGTGTTTTGGCTTTGAAAGTCCTCTTAGAACACTGCCCCCAGACAAAGTCCTGCTGGCCCAAGACTGGCTGGATTCCTACTTGCTAGCTTATCCGTGACACCAGTGCTGAGTATTGATTACAAGGCCTTTGTCACCACTGTCGACATGTTTTTTTTTTTTTTAGTTAAAAACAGGTGAACAGGCTGGGCGGTGGTGGCGCACGCCTTTAATCCCAGCACTTGGGAGGCAGAGCCAGGCGGATCTCTGTGAGTAAAGGCGCAAAGCTACAGAGAAGAACCCTGACTCGAAAAACCAAAACCCAAACAAAACAAAACAAAAACAAACAAACAAAAAAACCAAACCAGGTGAACAGATAGTCATGTGCAATTTTTTTGTTTTTTTTTTGTTTTTGAGACAGGGTTTCTCTGTGTAACAGTCCTGGCTGTCCTAGAACTCACTAACTCACTCTGTAGACCAGGCTGGCCTCAAACTCACTGAGATCCGCCTGCCTCTGCCTCCCAAGTGCTGGGATTAAAGGTGTGCGCCACCACCGCCAGTCTGTCATGTGCAGTTTAAACCAGCATTATCAACTATTAGAAACAAGCAACACAAATGCTTACTTTTTCCCCCTTTACTTCTCCCTTATTTTGAGACAGGGTCACCTCCCTTGAACTGCCTTTATAGCTAATGACAACTTTGAATTCCTGATCCACGCGCCTCCCATCCCAAGTTCGGGATGACAGGCATACGCCATCATGCTTAGCTGCTCCCCTAATTACGATTTAAGAAAACAGTAGCAGTCAGGTGTAATTTTCCAGTAGTAGTATTGCAAGGAAGTGGGCAGAAGTAAAGGCTGAATGTTGACATTGTGTGTGTGGTGTGTGCACATCTCGGTGGTTGGGGGAAAGGGTTGTGGCATTTGTGTGCGTGCATGCACTTGGAGGCCGGAGGCCAATCTTGGCTGTCTTTCCTCAGGAGCTGTCCACCTTTAAAGAAGTCTTATTTCTATTATTATTGATGTGTATGGGGGTGTGCCTTGGTGTTCATATGAAGATCAGAGGACAGCAGTGAGAAATTGCATTTGTGTGGGCTCTGGGAATCAAAATAAAACCACTGGCCTGTGTGGCAAGTGTCCTTACCTGTTGAGTCATTTCTCTGGCCCCTGTTGTTTTTGAGATGGTGTTTCTTGGACCTGGGGCTCTGTGTTTAGGTTAGTCTGGTTAGCTATGGAGCCTCAAAACTCAACTTGCCTTGCCTTGCCTATGCTGGGATTATAACCCCAGCCTTTTAGTTTGGATTCTGGGAATCAAACTCAGGTCCTAATGCAGGCATTTTACCTACCGACTGTGTGATTTTCTTTCTAGGCTGTTGATTGGTTTTTATGCTCATTTGTTTTCCTATCCTTATGGCATTTATGAGGGTATGGATCTTTTTCAGGGTCATGCTGCAAAGCAGCGGTATGGTGTTTTTCTAAGCTAAAGAACCAGTATTTTTCAAAGCAAGATCTCGGGAACTACTAGCCTCAATGTTACTGAATCCAGTTAAGTGTTGATTGGGATCCTGGAACCCGCATTTAGGAAGCTGAGGCAGTAGGATTAGGAGGCTAGCTAGGGCTACATAGAGAGAGGCTGTATTAACCAGAACCCGGGAGATGGCTCTCTAGGTTAGGGGGTAAAGACAGGGCGGATCCTTAGAGCTTTCTGTCAGCCAGTCCAGCTCGAGAGGTGAGCTGCAGGTTTAGTGGTAGAGCCTGTCTGAATGGGCAGAGCGGTGATGATCGAGGATACAAAACAAAAAAATGCGCCGAAAGGTCTTATGGCCCCGGTGAGCACAGACAGCTCTTCCTCCCGGGTCGCGGAGGCCCCGCCCTCGGGGCGCCCACGTCACGAGGGGCCCCGCCCAATCCCGCCTAGATTTTAGCGGGAAGAGCCCATCTGCTCAGGGGCAGAAAGATGTCTGGGTCCAACGCTGAGAGTGAGGAAAAGGCGGCCTCCAGACATTGTGCCCAGGTGCAGGTGAGACCTGATTCGGCCTGGGAGGGATCTGCTAGACACTGGCACCTGGCGCCAAGGAAAAGCTGTGATCCCTGCCTTTTTTTCTTTTCTTTTTTTTCTTAAAAGAAACTAAGATCGTTAAGTGTTGAGGAAAGTTTCCTACCAACTCCAGAAATAACGGTAGGTTTGCCTTTAATCCCATCACTCGGGAGGCAGAGACAGGTGGACCTCTTGAGTTTGAGGCCATCCTGTTCTACATAGTGAGTTCTAGGCCAGCCAGAGCTTGGTAGTGAGACCCCTTCTCCTTCGCCAACAACAACAAACAACTCCAAAACCGTGGGATGGGTCTTGGGGTCGGTTCCCCGACTCCCTGCCTTTGCTTTGCAGCAGTCACTGTCAGCTTTAAGCAATTATAGCTAACTTGAATCTGACCTTTGGCCTAATTACTTCAGTTACAGACTTACGGTAAAGAAATGTGCCTTCAGTAATTCCGTTTAGGTTAGAGAGTTAAGTATCCAGGTTTTGGAGGAGGGAAAAATTTCCTAACAGGCCATCAGTTTGAATCATGTTGTCACTATGAAGTAGGAATTAGACTTATTTACACAGATTTGTTTAGTGTCTTGTAAGGAGCGTAGGATCTGGGATTACTAATACTCTTTTCTTTTATTGCCCCAATAGGTGAATGAATATAAAGAAATTGGAAGTAGTGCTTATACTTCTTTGAGACCAATACAGACTATAACTTTGGGGAAAACAGCTAAGGTTTATCTTTCCCCATTTTCGCTCAGCAATTCCAAGCTAGCACTATTTAAGTTGTCCAGATCCCCGTTTGAAAGTAATTCTCACAATGCAGTGGCTCATAAGAAGACTGACCGGAAGAAGACGTGTAGAAAGGTTTTAACTTCAGAGATGAAGGCCGTGTCTTCCAAGGCAGAACCCGTTCTGCTGAAGCCATCCAAGCTGGAACTCCAGAGCACCGAAGAATCCGTGCCTCTCAGTGTGGACATGGGAAGCAGCGATGAAGATGGCGTCCCGGGCCTGGTGAGAGTGTGCTTAGTTCTCATTATCTTTTCACTTTGAAATGAGAAGTTCTGAAGGCTAAGGTGGTGAAGGATTTCCAGCAAAATCTGTTTTATTATCTAATGTAAATAAAAAAAAATGTTTTGTGTGTGCATGTGCTTGTGTGTGTGTCTGCACACGAGTGTGCATGCATGTATGTGCCCTGACATGAGTGTGGAGGTCATAGGAATCAAAAGATGATGATGGCAGGCACCTTTACCTGATGAACCATCTTGCAAGCCCTTTAATTTAATGTAAATTTTATTGAGTTTAGTTTTAATTAAAAACTTTTTTTAATTATCATTATTATTTTGTTTTTTGAGACAGGGTTTCTCTGTAGTTTTGAAGCCTGTCCTAGAACTAGCTCTGTAGACCAGGCTGGCCTCGAATTGACAGAGATCCACCTGCCTTTTCTAAGTGCTGGAATTAAAGTTATGTATCACTTTGCCTGGTTGTTTCTATAGTTTCATTTATTTATTTGTTTGTTTTGTTTTTCAAGGCAGGGCTTTTCTGTGTAGTTTGGTGCAGGGTTTCTCTGTGTAGTTTTGGTGCATGTCCTGGATCTCACTCTGTAGACCAGGCTGGCCTCGAACTCACAGAGATCCGCCTGGCTCTGCCTCCCGAGTGCTGGGATTAAAGGCTGGGCCACCACCGCCCAGCTAGTTCCTTTTTTATTTTCTAAGACAGAGATTTCAGAAAATTTCCTGGCTGTTCCTGGAACTTACTCTGTAGACCTGGGTGGCCTTGAACTCACAGAGATCCTCCTGCCCCTTCCTCCCAAGCGCTGGGATTAAAGGTGTGCGCCACCACCACCTTTGCTTTCTTATTAAATCAGTTTTGTTATTCTCACTATTCTTCGTCTCTTGAAAGATGTTTCTTTATCCTCTCATGATCCCCTTTCTAATTGTGTGACTTACAGACTCAGCTGTGTGCGCCCCTGTGCTGTATGCATGTGTGTGTGCACACTCACTATGTGGGTGGGTTTGGAGGCTAGAGGATGCCTTTTCTCCATAACTTGTTCTTTTTTTTTTTTTTTTTTTTCAAAGATTTATTTATTTATTTTGTATACAGCATGTATGACCAGAAGAGGGCACCAGATCTCATTACAGATGGTTGTGAGCCACCATGTGGTTGCTGGGAGTTGAACTCAGGACCTCTGGAAGAGCAGTCAGTGCTCTTAACCTCTGAGCCATCTCTCCAGCCCAACTTGTTCTTTTTTCTTTTGTAGACACGATCTCTTACTGAATCTAAAGCCCAGCTGTTGTGGTTAGACTGGATGGCCAGTGAGCCTCCTTGGTGTCTGCCATTTCTACTCTTGAAGCAGTGGGGTTATAGACTTGTGCCTGACTTTATGTGGTGCTGGGCATCTGAATTCTGGTCCTCATGCTTCCATAGCATCCACTTTGCCCACTGAGCATCTCTCTAGTCCTCAGATACCTTTTATTTTAGTTGTATAAGACTATCCTCAAAGCCAAACAACTCCCATTGTGGAGCATTCAGCTGTGCCTGTTTAAAAAAAGATCATTCCAGCTGGCTTTGTTGGCTGTTCAGCTAGTTGTAGCCCCTCATGGAGGGGCCGAGGATACAGCCACTCCCTACCACCATGGGTCACCATGCCTATAATGCCAGCACTCCCAGAATGCCAGAGACTGAGGCAGGTGGGGAGAGTTTGAAGCCAGCCTGGGCTACACAGGGAGACCCTTTCTCAAAGAGAGACAACCTTTAAGCCTTCCCCTACTTCCATTGCCTGTTGACTGACTTTGGAACATTAAGATTTGATTCAGTAACACTACACTTATGTACACACCGTTTCCCTTCAAGTAAGAAGTTCAGCCCACGCTTGAGCAAAATTGTAAAATTTCTTTCACTGTAAACCAAAGATTTCAAATGGCCTTTCCCCCAGGATACTGTCTTATGTCCTGTTTTATTCAGAGAACCGTTTTACGGTATTGCTTCTGAACACTTTTTCTTTTCCACAAGGTCTCACTATGTAAGACCGTGCTGGCCTTGAACTTGTAGTAGCTTCCTGCCTCACCTTCCGCCGTAGTACTGAGATTATGTGCCACGGCTTTGAATTTTGTCTTTTATCTGTGTTGGAACTTGTGTGGTGTGTAGCTGGAGAGTTTCTCTCCAGCGCCTGCCAAGCCCCGCCAGTCCTAGAGCCCACTTATAAAATAAACACACCGACTCTTATATTATTTAAACTGCTCGGCCATTAGCTCAGGCCTACCATTGTCTAGCTCTTACTCTTATACTCAGCTCATTTCTGTTAATCTATATGTCGCCACGTGTTCCGTGGCTTTACCTGTTGCCTCTACATGATGCTCCCTGGACGGCAGCTGGTGTCTCCCCGCTCTGCCTTCCTGTCCTTTCCTTTCTCCTCTCTGTTAGTCCCGCCTATACTTCCTGCCTGGCTGCTGGCCAATCAGTGTTTTATTTATCAAACAATCATCCACAGCAGTGGTGTCTCCCCCCATCCCCTTTGGTTAATTTTGATGAAGTGTAATGTGTAGTCGGTACATCAGAACTGGTTATAAGAGGCAAGCATTGAACCCTGGTCCACTTGAATAGCAGCCAGTGCTCTTAACCGCTGAGCCATCTCTCCAGCCCTAAAGATAACGTTTGACTGCTAGGAAATAGTTTGCTGTAAGGGCATGGCATTTGGCTGCTTATATTTGATTACTTTTTTTTTTTTTTTTTTGAGACGGGGTCTTTCTACATAGCCCTCGGCTGTCCTGGAATTCATTATGTAGACCAAGCTGGCCTCAAACTCATAGAAGTCTGTCTGCTCATGCCTCCCAAGTGCTGGGGTCAAAGATGTGTACCACCACAATTCTCTTACTATCCAGTCCAGCAGAGATGATGAGCTGTTTGTTAAGATAACATGAAATAATTAGAGGTTCTGTGCAGTTTGAAGGGAAATGTCTGGGTAGAGAACGAGGAATCTGGTTTTGTGTGTTGCTTTTGCTATTAATGTGTGAAGTGACAGATTTTTTTGTTGTCTATTTTCTAGGATGATTTTTCAGGATTGTCACCTTATGAGAGGAAGAGGTTGAAGAACATCAGAGAAAATGCAAACTTTTTTGCTTCCCTTCAGTTATCTGAGGTATGTATGGAGTTTGAAATGAAAACCAAGATGAGATAATTAGATGATAATTTTCCACCTCAAATGAGGGAAGGCAAAATTCAGGCAATGCTTGGTATAAGGTCAGTTGGTTTGTGGTCTTTGTCCTCCTCCTATTTTGGGACAGTCTCCCTGGAACTCACTGTGTAGATCAGGCTGGCCTTGAATTTACATTGACATGTCTGCCTCTGCCTTCTGAGGGCTGAGATTAAAGGGTCACACCACTACATCCAGCTTGCTTTGCTTTGCTTTTTTTCTTCTCCTTCTTCCCTCCCTCCCTTCCTTCCTCCATCCAAGACAGGGTGTCTCTGTAGCTCTGGCTGTACTGCAGCTCACTCTGTAGACCAGTGTGGCTCAAACTGCAGACTGGCCTTGAACTCCTGCCTCTGCCTAAGGACATGCACCACCACCACAAGGCTGCTTGTTTTTCTTTGTGTTTCCTGTTGAGACACTTTTGTAAGCCTGCTGGTGGGTGGTGCATGCTGTGTTCCCCGAACTTGAGAGGTAGAGGCTGGACAATAGACTTTCTTTCTTCCTTTTTTTTTTTTTTTTTTATACTTTTTTATTTTATTGGTGTTTTACTTGCATGTATGACTGTGTGAGTGTGTTGGATCTCCTGGAACTGGCATTATAGACAGTTGTGAGCTGCCATGTGTATGTTGGGAATTGAACTCAGGTCCTTTGGAAGAGCAGTCAGTGCTCTTAACTGCTGAACCATCTCTCCAGCCCCTGCACAATAATATTTCAAGGTCATACATAGTAAGTTTGAGGCCAAACTGGGATACATGAAACTATCTCATAAAAACAAGAACAATAAAAGAAGCTTGTAAAGCTCTTTAAAAAAATATATTAACCAAGAGGTTCCCAGATGGAGTTAATATTTTTTTTTTTAAGATATATTTATTTTATGTATGAGTGTTCTATCTGCATGTACAACTTTATGCCAGAAGAAGGCATCAGATCCCTGCTACAGACGGTTGTGAGCTACCATGTGGTTGCTGGGAATTGAATTCAGGGCCTCTGGAAGATCAGCCAGTGCTCTTAACCGCTGAGCCATCTCTCCCTTAATATTTAATTCTTTGAAAGAAGAAGATGTAGGATAAATCTGAAGAATCATGTTCTGATTTATGTATTTTTTTTTTCTTTTTCTTTGGCTGTGCTGGATCAGATCCAGGGATCTGTACATGCTAGGCAAGCTCTACCTGTGAGTAATATCCCCATGCAGCCTGGTTCATGTTTCTTAATAGATACTACCATGTTTAATTGACTGTAGGCATCTTTTTTCACTCTTTTGGTATGTAGATGTTTGGCAGTCAAAGGTCAATCCAGGTATTGTCCCTTAGGAGCCGTCCGCCTTGTTTTTGAGACGGGATCTTTGACTTGAACCTGGTGCCTGCCAGTTAGACTCCACTGGCCGTCAGTGAGTCCCAGGGATTGGCCTGCCTCTGCCTCTCTCCAGTGCTCCCATACCTGGCCTTGGTTTTTTTTTTTTTTTGAGGCAAAGTCTCACTCTGTAGATCAGGGTTAACCTTGACTAAATAGCAGGTTCAGAGCTAGCCTGTACCACAGGAAAAAAGAAAGAAAACAATTTACATAGTCTGCTTGTGATTTTTTTTTTTTTTTTTGTTTTTTTTGTTTTTGTTTTTCGAGACAGGGTTTCCCTGTGTAGCTTTGCGCCTTTCCTGGAACTCACTTGGTAGCCCAGGCTGGCCTCGAACTCACAGAGATCCGCCTGGCTCTGCCTCCCGAGTGCTGGGATTAAAGGCGTGCGCCACCACCGCCCGGCCTGCTTGTGATTTTAATTAATCAAAACTACAATTTGAGAGTCTGGAGAGATGACTCTGTTGAACTCTTCCACAGTGTGGAGGTTCAATTGCCAGCACCCATGTGGTGGCTCACAAATGCTTGTAATTCTGCTTTTAGGGGATGTCTTCTTCTGGCCTTTGCAGGCAAAATACTCATAAATGTAAAATAAAAATAAATCTTAAAGCCGAGCGGTGGTGGCACATAGCTTTAATCCCAGCACTTGGGAGGCAGAGGCAGATGAGCCTCTGGTTTGAGGCCAACCTGGTCTACAAAGCAAATTCTAGGATAGCCAGGGCTATACAGAGAAACTCTATCTAGAAAAATAACAACAACAAAATCTTTTTTTAAAAAAGTTGTAAATTTAGTTATGAAAAATATAACCTATAACTTTTCTGGAAAATGTCCAAATAGGTTTCCAGCACTATAGATTGAATTGGTTTGTATATGTATGTGTAGGAGTGTATACCTTTTTTTTTTTTAAAGATTTATGTATTACGTATACAGCATTTATGACTGCAGGCCAGAAGAGGGCACCAGATCTCATTACAGATGGTTGTGAGCCACCATGTGGTTGCTGGGAATTGAACTCAGGACCTTTGGAAGAACAGTCAGTGCTCTTAACCTCTGAGCCATCTCTCCAGCCCGGAGTGTATACCTTTTATATGTGTTTATATGTGAACCTGTTTCATCTTTTGTTTTTGAGAAGGTCTCACCACGTAACTCTGCTGACCTGGAACTCACTATGTAGATCAGGCTGGCCTCAAACTCAGCGATCCACCTACTTCTTCCTCACAAATACTGTGATTAGAGGAATGTGCCACCATGCTCAGCCCATGTCTTATTATTTTTTAATTTTCTTAACAACATTTAATTTTGAGAAAGAGAGGTAGAGAAAGGCAGACTGCATGGGTGTGCCTGCGTGTGCCCGAGTGCCATGGCACATGCGTGGAGGTCAGAGGGCAACTTTCGGGAGTCACTTCTCTCTTGCCCCCTTGTGGGTCCTATGAACTCAGGTCATCAGTCTTGGCAGCAAGTGTTTTTATGGATCGAGCCGTCTCACTGGCTCTTACTGTTTTTTTTTTTTTTTTTTTGACAGTCTTACTATGTAGCCAGGCTGGCCTTGAACTTACTACATTTATGTGTCCTACTTCAGCCTCCTGAATGTTGGGATAGGTGTGAGCCATCTCACTTTGCTTATTAGTTTTTTAAATTTGTTTTTGCAATGCTGTGATTAAAACCAAGTCTGTGCATTCTAGGCAAGTGCTGTGCTCCTGAACCATCCTGCCGGCCCTGTAATAGTATGTTTGATTAAATACTGTGTTTAGTCATGTGAATTCACAAGCAGCTTGGCTCAAGGTACCAGAATGCCAGTATATTAGGTGGTGTTATATGCTTGCTTTCATTATTTATGGTATTTATCTCATGTCTATTACCAAGAATAAGTATCGAATCTTAAAATATCTATATTTCCTAAATAAGCCTGGATATAGGAGCAAATACTTACTGCTTTAATGAGTAGACAGTGTAGTTATATGGTAGCATTTTTATGTGAACGAATATCTTATGTGCTTTTCAGTCAGCTGCAAGGCTTCGTGGAATGATAAAGAAGAGCCAGCCGACTGAATCAAAGAGGTAAAAGACGGGCTTAATGTTGACTAGACCACGATATTTTGCTGAGGATTTTAAGTTTGAGACATTGACTTGTAGCCCAAGCTGGCCTCAAGCTTCTTATATTTTTGGTTGTGAGCCTAGCCTTTAACGGCTGAGCCATCTCTCCAGCCCGCCTCAAGCTTCTTATCTTCCTGCCTCCACCTCTCAAGTGCTAGGATTATGGCACATGCTGGGGTTGGAAGTGGGGGGGCGCTCCCATGTAATAGGTGAGTGTTTTTTACTTCTGAGCTGCGCTCCAGCCATTGATTGTTCTTAGCCTGGGAAATCCTAGGTGAGTGGGGATCTCAGAAGTAGATTCCCATGCAGGTCATATGATTGTGTAAATTATTACATACGCTTAGTGGTTTTTTTTAATATTGCTGTGGATCAAATCGAACTTTATGTATTCTAGGCAAGTGCTCTACCACTGAGCTACACTATCAATGCTATTTATTAGTTTTTGGAAGTAATTTAAGAAGTATCTCTTTTCTCAGCTTTCCCCTCCCACCCCCTTTTCTTTTTTCTTTTTTTGTTTTGCCACATTTTTTAGTGAATTCACTATGTGTGTATGTATATGTGTGTGTTTATGTATTTGCAAGTGTGCATGAAGACTAGGGGCCAAAGGCATTTTCTCATTGAGATAACATCCTAAGCCATATTTCAGTCTTTTATGGTTGCATATTATTTTATTAGATTCTGTGTTCTTTTTTTAATTTTTTTTTTTTTTTTTTTTTTTTTTTTTGGTTTTTCGAGACAGGTTTCTCTGTGTAGCTTTGCGCCTCTCCTGGAACTCACTTGGTAGCCCAGGCTGGCCTCGAACTCACAGAGATCTGCCTGGCTCTGCCTCCCGAGTGCTGGGGTTAAAGGCGTGCGCCACCACTGCCCGGCCAATTTTTTTTTTTGATGTAGTTATTTTATGTGTATGAATGTTTTACCTGCATATATGTCTGTGTATCACATGCATGCTTGATGCCTGAGTAGATTAGGAGAAGGTTTGGGTCCCCAAGATGGAGTTGATGATTGTAAGCCACCAAGTGGGTGCTGAGAATTGAACCCAGGTCCTCTGCAATAACAAGTGCTCTTGACCACTAAGCCATTTTTCTAGCCCCAGTTTTGTTTTGTTTTTCTCTTGAGAGAGGGACTCACAGTGTATCTCAGGGTGTATTAGAACTCACTATGTAGCCCAGGCTGTTTTCAAACTCATGGAAATCCTCCTGTCTTTGTCTCTCATTTGTTGGGGTTTCAAGTGTGAGCCACTATACCTGGCATTATTCTATTAGATATGTATCTACTTTAACTGAACTATGCAGATCTTGTCTGCTGGACCTGGGATCTGAGGACCTGAAAGAATGGGGCGGACTACAGTCTAATGTTGTAGACAACCTTACTTCAGTTTTTTTTTAGAGCTGAAGACCGAACCCAGGGCCGAGGCAAGCGCTCTACCACTGAGCTAAATCCCCAACCCTTCGGTGTACTTTTATACACAAATATAACAAAGCAATGATCCAGGGAAGGTTGTTTGAGTTACATGTCAGAAAAAAACATGTAAATAAACATCAGTAAGCATATACTAATTATTAACAGAGCAGCTCTTCCCCAAAATTTTCTCAGGACAGAGTAATTGAAACAGAATTGCCCAGCACGTACTGTAGATTATATCTGGGAAAGCAGGAAAGCAAGGCGTAAGGCCATACCAGATTCAGGGCACACTGACTGACCAGATTGGCTTCCATAGCTATGTTCTGACATTCAACAAGAATAGACATGTCTTATAAATTGAATGTAAATGTTTGTCACAGGAGGCACGAAATCACATCTAAGAACAATCCAGGGAACAAATGTACCTCTGCCTTTTTTCCTGGAGCTGCTCTCACAGTTTGCCAGGACATGGTTCATCACATGTCATTCTTTTGACCATGTTCTGACAGATGTGTGTGACATGCTTTGTTTAGTGGCTCTTACTTCTTCACATTAAGCTTTTCGGTTTAGATTATTTTGAGACTTTATTCAAATCAGTGTGGCGAAGAGATGGTAGATGGGTGGTTCAGAGCACTTGAAGCCCTTGCAGAGTACTCAGGTTTGATTCCCTGCAATTACACTGAGAGGCTCACCACTACCTGAATCTCTAGGTCCAGGATATTTAATACCCTTTTCTGACCTGTGGGCACTGTATGCATGTGGTTCACAAACAAGCACACGACACACACACACACACACACACACACACACACACACACACACACACCCCAAAAAGCCAGTGCAGCTATGTTTCTTTTCCTGTACAGTGTGTGAATATGCCTAAAGTACACATTCCTAAATGTTTGTTCTTTAAATTAAAATTTCTAAGTACAGGACCTGAGAGAAGGCTGAATGGTCAAGAACATATATTGCTCCTCTTGGAGGCCTGGGCTTGGCTCCCAGCACCCACAGCAGTGACTCATTGATACCCATAACTAATTCCAGGTGACTGGATGCCCTCTGGCCTCCTTGGGCACCAGGCACACACATGGTGCACACCGTCTCACACAGGCACACATACATACATAGACATAAAAATAAAAATGTCTTTAACAAGTTACTAAATACATTTTACCATTCAGTGAGAAAGCATGAGTATTTCCCCTCTCCTCCATTAGAAAGAGGCCTAAGAAGAAAGAAAATGAGATTGGCTGTCGAAGGTCCATGCGATTGTTGAAAGTAGACCCTTTGGGAGTTCCCTTGCCAGCAGCTCCAGCAGAGCCTACATTGGAAGAAGAAGAAAATGTAAGAAAAAGTGCAAATACAGTGCATTTAGCTTAACCAAATACTGAAACACTTAAAGTATTTGAAACCAGACTGATGGGTTTTTTTTGTTATGTTTCACTTTTATTAATTTAATACTTGGATATTGTATGACTTAATAAGACTTCAGAGTTGAGTTGTTAACACTGGGTAATACTCGATGTTTCTACAGGAAATTGTGGAGTAAATTACTTGTTCTTTGTGAACTTCATTAAAAAGTTTTCTACATTAAAAAAAAAAATGGTATATGGATCACATGTGTAATCTCAGTGTTTGGGAGGCTAAGGTAGGAGGATTGTCACAAGTTTGAGGAGAGCTGGGTTACATAGTTCGAGGCTACCTGAACTAGATAGTAAGAGTGTGTCTAGAGTAAAAAGCAAAGGAAATATCAATAGAATATTGTTAGGATGAAATTAAGTAGAATCCATAAGCGTCTTTATATTATGTTAAGGGTTTAGTAAGTAATAAGTGGTAGCATTTAATACTGTGTAATATATGATCAAACTGATGAGGATTGGACTGGGGAGCTGGCTCAGTGGGGGAAATGCTTGCTGTACAAATAGTACCTGAGTTTGAATCCCCAGAACCCATGTAAAGCTGGGTATGGCACTATGCACTTAATTCCATAGTGAGATGGGCAGCTGAGACTAGAGAACTCTAGAAACTGGTGGGCAGCTGGCTGGGTGTATGTAGCGGCAAACAGTAGAGACCCTGTTTTAAAACAAGATGAGGACCACCAACACCAGAGGCTGTTCTGACTTGTGCATGTGTGATATGTGTGTTCATCCACATTCACATGAACACATATGTTATGCACATACATCACACATACACAAAATGACAAAATGAAAATGAAGAGGATCCCTTGATAGAGCTTTTTTGAAAACAGGTACTCATGTAGCCTAGGCTGGCATTGAACTTACTATGTAGTTCAGGGTGACCTTGAACTTCTGATCCTGCTTCCACCTTCCCAGTGCTGAGATTAGAAGTATAATCCACTGTAACTGCTTTGTGTCATGCTTCCTAGACAAGCATTCTGCCAAGTGAGATACATCTCAGGCTTTGGCATGAATTTTGAGACTTTTTTTGTCTAGGAATATCATTATGTAACTGAAGCTGGCCTGAAACTCATGATCCCCCTGCCTCGTCCTCCTGAGTGCTGGGATTACAGGTGGGTACCACCATGCAACGTTTTTAGCAGCCAACCATTTTTTTTTTTTTTTTTTTTTTGTTTGTTTTTTGTTTTTTTCGAGACAGGGTTTCTCTGTGTAGCTTTGCGCCTTTCCTGGAACTCGCTTTGGAGACCAGGCAGCCAACCATTTTTAAACGCCTACTATGTGCCACTGTTGTTGATGTTGAAAGTAGTGAAAATGAGAACCAGAACCCTGGCTCTTCTGTTTATGTTCTAGGACAAACAATCTTTTGCCTTTTCTTTTTGATAGCCTTTGTTACCTCCTGGACCCTTAGAAATGATTCCTGAAAACCAGGATGACAGCAATGAACTGTTCAAAGCATCTTTGAAGACATGGGCCGAGATGAGCAAGGTATCACTTGAGAGGCTTTCACAGCTTTTAGAATCACCGAAGGAAATTTCTGTGTATATATATGAACTTAGTCCTTGGTCTTTTCCAATGTTGCAGACAAGTAAGGAGAGGACCAAGGAGGGACTATCTAGCATTAAAAGGTAAGTTAAAATTCCTTGCCTTTGTTTTATTTTTGACCTTTGTTTTATACTTTTAGCAGTATAAAAGCTATAGTATAGGGGCTGGAGAGATGACTCAGCAGTTAAGAGCACTTGACTGCTCTTCCAGAGGTCCTGAGTTCAATTCCCAGCAACCACATGGTGGCTCACAACCATCTGTAATGGGATCTGGTGCCCTCTTCTGGTGTGCTTAAAGACAGAGTACTCATATACATAAAATACATGAGTAAATGTTGTATAGGACTTTTTAAAAAAAGCTACAATACATATTTTATACTATTAGAGGAAACCTTGAAAGTAGTGGAAAAACATCATCCATTCCTACTGTTTCTATGCTAGCAGTTGTTTGCTTGCTCACTTGTTTGATAGTGTTAAGGGTTAAATAAATTAAACTTGAAGTGTGCTAGGCAAGTGCTCTACCACTGAGCTATGTCTCTAGCCCTATGTTGTAGACATACATATTATTTTATTTATTTACTTTTCTCAAAACAGAGTCTCACTGCATATTCTGGCTGGCCTCAAACTCACAGAGAAACCCTTGCCTCTGCCTCCCGAGTACTGGGATTAAAGGCGTGCACCACCATATCTGGCTCTATATTTTAATATACTTATTTTTATGTGTATGAATGTTTTGCCTACATGTTCATGAGGGTAGTGCATGTGCCTGGATGCCTACAGAGACCAGAAGAGGGCACCCAATCCCTTGGAACTGATTGTAAGCCGCCGTGGGGGTGCTAGGAACTGAACCTGGGTCCTCTGGAATAGTAGCAAGTGTTCTTAACCATTGAGTCATCTCTCCAGCCCCCTGTTTTGAGGTGAAGTATCCTCAAGTTGTTCAGGCCACTTTAAACTCATTCTGTAGCCTAGTGTTTTAGTTTAATTTTCCATTGTTTCGAGGAAATACTCTGACAAAGGTAATTCAAGGAAGACAAGGTGTATTTGGCTCACAGTTCCAGGTCACAGTCTTTCACTGTGGCAGTTTCCAGATGGCAGGAGCTGGAAACAGCTGGTCACGTAGTCACAGTCGAGAGCAGAAAGAGTTAATGAGTGCATGCTGTGTGCAGCTTGGTTTCTCCATTCTTTGTTTGGTTTTTTCGAGACAGGGTTTCTCTGTATTTCCCTCGCTGTCCTAGAACTTGTTCTGTAGACCAGGTTGGTTTGGAACTCAGAGATCTGCCTGCCTCTGCCTCCCTAGTACTAGGATTAAAGGCATGTGCCACCACCGCCCTGCTTTCTTTTAGGTATTTCAAAAAAGTATGTTGGCTCTCCATTGTTTTTTAATTAATTTTTTTTTTTTTTTAAGACAAGGTCTCACTATATAGACCAGGCTGGTCTTGGACTCACAGAGATCTGCCTGCCTCTGCCTTGAGAGTGTTGGGATTAAAAGGGTGCATCACCATACCCTGCCTATTCTCTACTCTTACACAATTTTGGCTTCTCTGCCTAGGGAATAGTGCCAACCACATTGGGTGGATCTTACATCAATCAAATAATCAATATAATTCTTCATAGACATGCCCCCAGACCAACTGGGTTTTAGACAGTCTTTCTTCACAAGTGTCAGGTTGAAAATTAAAATTAAAGCCTGCATGCAGTCAGGCTCATTTTTAAGTTGCTAAGGTTACAGGCCTTCAGTAGTAGGCCTGGCCTGACACAGGGCAGAAACTTTATGAAGGTGACTTTATCTCACCCTTAACATTGTTTGGTAGATAGTATATATTCAATGTTGAACAAATGAATTCACAATTTTTTTTTAAAGATTTATTTATTATGTATACAGTATTCTGCCTACATGCATGCTTGCAGGCCAGAAGAGGGCACCAGATCTCATTACGGATGGTTGTGAGTCACCATGTGATATCTGGGAATTGAACTCAGGATCTCTGGAAGAACAGCCAGTGCTCTTAACCGCTGAGCCATCTCTCCAGCCCCCATGAATTCACATTTTATATATATATAGTTTCACATTGTGCCTTTTTTTGTGGGTATTTGCACATTTATTATAGCACACTTTTACCCATTTGGTGTTTGGAGTTTCTGTTTAGGCATGTGTGTGTGTATGTGTGTGCATATGTGTATGTAAGTGCATACATAAAAGTAGACTGTTTTCTTAGGTTTCCTGACATGGGACTAATGAGTCGAACAGTGGGGACATCCTTATGGTTTTTATTATGCACTATTGAATTGTTTCTTTAAAATCTTTTCTTGTTAAAATCTATGAACCCATATGAAGTATGTGTGCACAGAGAGCATCCTCCTCTGTGGCTGCCCCTACTAAGCCACATCCCCAGCCCCGTCATGTCATGCTTTAACTCTGGCCTCCTAAGTTTTGATATCATTAAAACTATCAGAAGTAATTGTATAGTTGGAAAATGATAACCTTGATTTATTTGGCGTCTTTTGTCATTAGGAAGTTGGGTATTGCCAGAATTTACCAGCTGTGCTTTTTCTTTTTGGAGTTATTTTTTACTTGTTTGGACTATTGAGATTGTTTTTATCTTTAACTTACCAACTTTTGTAGCTACAAAGCCAGTTTAAGTGGTATGGTCATCAGTGAAGGTACAGTTCGTAAAGTGACCAGAGGTGCCATCTCCTCTGTGGCCCTCCATCCATCAGAAGTGAGGACCTTGGTAGCAGCCGGGGCCAAGTCTGGGCAAATCGGACTTTGGGATTTGGTAAGTTGACACTGCCTTTTGGGAGATGATGTAAAGTCTGCCTGAAGGAACTGTCTTAAAGAGGATAGCCTAGAACATTTATTTATAAATGTTGCTGAGATTTGTAGTTGTGTGCTTCATGATTCCAAATTTTAGAAATCTGGCAGAATTTAAATTTGTTTTATAGAACTAACATTTTTAGCTTGAGTATCTTTAGCCATCTGGACATAAATTATCTGGCAGGAGACATTAATGTATATGTGAAAAAATTTGCATATGAAAAGTAAGTTTTTAAATTATGTTCAAAATAGGGTCTGCTATGATTTGAATGTTATGGCTTCTCCATATTCATGTTGTAATATTTTCTTAATGTTTTGTTGTTGGTTTATTTATTTATTTTTGAGACAATTATGTAGACTAGGCAGGCCTTGAAATCTCAGCTCAGCCTGCCTCTGCTTCCCAAGTTCCAGGATTAAAGCTGTGACACCTAAAAGGTTTTTTTTTTTTTTTTTTTGGTTTTTCGAGACAGGGTTTCTCTGTGTAGCTTTGCGCCTTTCCTGGAACTCGCTTTGGAGACCAGGCTGGCCTCGAACTCACAGAGATCCGCCTGGCTCTGCCTCCCGAGTGCTGGGATTAAAGGCGTGCGCCACCACCGCCCGGCCCAGGTTTTTTTTTTTTTTTTTTAACATTTATATTATTTTATTTTTAATTTAAAAGTTTATGTTTATGAGTTTGGTTTTCTTTCTTCTTTTTTTTTAATGTATGCCTGTGCACTACGTTACATGCTTTATGCTCAGAGAAGTCAGAAAAGGGTGTTGGATCTCCTGGGACTGGAGTTACAGACTGTTGTGAGCTGACATGTGGGTGCTGGGAATTGACCTGAATCCTCTGGAAGAGCTCTTAATCACTGAGTCATCTATCTCTCTAGCCTGTTTAACTTTTTAAAGTGTGTGTGTGTGTGTGTGTGTGTGTGTGTGTGTGTGTGTGTGTGTGTTAGGGTGTTGGTGCCACAGTGTGCATGTATGGCGGTCAGGACCACCTGCTGTGACTGGTTTGTTTATACTGTTCTGGGGATTGAACCCAGAGCTTTGTATATGCTGAGCAGGCACTCTGCCAACGGAGCTACATCCTCAGCACCTTTTTGTTTGTGTATTTATAATTTTGTTGTTATTGTACAGCTCAGTTGGTAGAGTGTTTGTCCAGCATGCAGGAAGCTTTGGGTTTGTTCCCTAGCTCTTTAGGGAAAAAATATTTCAGAATGGAAAAGCTTGACCAAAGAGTTGATGATCATGGGGCTGGATAGTGGCTCAGCTGTTTCGAGCCCTTGCTGTTCTTTCAGAGTTCCCAGGTTCTATTCCCAGCACCCACAGAGCAGCTCACAACCATCTGTAACTCCAGTTCCAGGGGAGCCAATGCCTTCTTCTGGTCTCTTCATGTACCAGACATTCATGTATACATAAAATAAAATTATAAGTTTTGTTTTGTTTTTTTAGACAGGGTCTCTATGTAGTCCTTGAATGTCCTGGAACTTGGCTATGTTGATCAGGCTGGCCTTGACCTCACAGAGATCCACCTGCCTCTGCCTCCCCAGTCTTGGGATTAAAGGTATACCCATCATGCCTGGCTCTAAAATAAATCTTAAAAGAAAAAAAAAGAAAGAAAGATCAGCTCCAGGTATGGTGGCTCACACCTTTAATTCCAGCACTTGGGAGGTGGGGATAGGTGGATCTGTGAGTTCAAGTCCAGCCTGGTTTACTTACTGAGTTCCAACCCATTCAGGGCTGCATAGAGAGACCCAGTCTCAGAAAAACAAAAACAAAACAACAACAAAAGAATTGCTGTTCAGAACTGAAGTATCTTTTTTATAATTTTATGTAGATGGATGTATTGCCTGCGTGTGTCTTTAGTGGCGTTATAATTTTATGTGTATGAGTGTTTTGCCTGCATATATGTTTTAATGACAAGTACCTTTACCTGCTGAGTCATCTCACTGTCCCATACTTTGTATTTCTACATTTTTTTAATTTTTTTAAAGTAATTTTACCCTTTCTTTTTCCCCTCTCCAACTTTTCCAATTTCTCCTCTGCTCTCTCAAATTCATGGCCTCTATTTCTTTAGTTGTTATTACATATATATGCATATATCTTCTTAATATAATTCACTCAGTTCTTATGTCACTTTTATGTATATGATTTCAGAGATGACCACTTGGTATTGAATAACCCATACTTTTTTTTTTCTGGGGGAGTGGTAGTGGTTTTTGAGACAGGGTTTCTCTGTGTAGTTTTGGTGCCTGTTTGGGATCTCGCTCTGTAGACCAGGCTGGCCTCGAACTCACAGAGATCTGCCTGGCTCTGCCTCCCAAGTGCTGGGATTAGAGGCGTGTGCCAGCACTGCCCAGCGAATAACCCATACTTTTTTATATTAATTTTTTTTTACATTTTATTTTTGTTTTACATTGATGGGTGTTTTGTCTGCCTGTATGTGTGTGCACCAGGTGCATTCCTGAAAGAGGGGAACCGATTCCCTGGCATTAGAGTTACAGATGGTTATATGTTGTCATGTAGGTGCTGGGGGTCCAACTCAGGTTCTCTGCAAGAGTAGCAAATGATTTTAACTGCTGAACCAACTCTCCAGAGGGTTTTGTTTTATTTCCTGAGGGGAGGTCTTGCAGTGTTTCCTGGACTAGCTATAAACACCACCTCCTACAACATTTCCCCGCTCAGGTGATCCTCCTGAGTAGCTGTGATCATTGGTGCATGCCGTCTCAACTGGCAGATGCAGGGTTTTGTTGCCTCTGATAAGAAGAAGCTAGTTTGTTAGTTGCCCAAAGCTGGACTTGTGAAATTAATGTGGCTGGGTATTGTTAAACTGAATATGAGGAAACAAAAATTCCAATATAAAGTTGTTGATTCTGGGCCTGTGACATGCTCAGAGGGTAAAGATGCTTGTGACCTGAATTCGACCTCAGAATTCATGTGAAAGGAGAGAGCTGACTACTGCAATGTGTCCTCTGACTTACACATGTGCGTCATGGCCTCTATATGGTTGTGTTGTACACGCATACACATGCTCTTAAAAGGTTCTGATTGTCTGTCTGGGAGAGTGAGTGTAGTTAGACTAAAGACTCAATAGAATTCCTATGTTAATACTTTAATGATATGAAGACATAGCAACCGTTACTATTTTTCACTAGTTTTGTCTTTTCCCTCACCTCCAACTTTCTTCCAGACCCAGCAATGTGAAGATCAGGTATATGTTTTTTATCCCCACAGTCAGCCCGTTAGCTGTCTTTACTTCTCACCCACCAATCCAGCCCACCTACTGTCCCTGAGCTACGATGGCACGCTGCGATGTGGGGACTTTTCCAGTGGCATTTTTGAAGAGGTAAATGTTAATGTGTTTACAACCTGACATCAGTTGATATTCTGGAATATTTCTGAAATGGTACGCTTGATTCCTGTGTCAGTCAGATTGAGAGAAGTTCGTTGTACAGTTTAGGGACTAAGTTCAAGCCTTAGACGGTCTGTTATCAGTTGTGTTTGACCTTTAAAAGTTACTCAGCGTCTGTGCCTCCATTTCCTTAGCTATGAAATGGGATAGTCTTACAGAGTTGTCATGAAAATTAAATTGAATTAGTGTGAGTAAATTAATTATGTTTTATTTTTTGAGGTAGGGTATCACTAAGAATCCCAGGCTAGCTTTGAACTGATTGGTGATCCTCCATCCTCTGCCTCCAGAATATCTGGGACTACATTGTGGGCGCATGCCACACATTCTTGTTATATAATTGTTTTATTTGTGGAAGAGAAATGTTTTGAGTAAAAGTACTGAACTGTTTCTAGGCTTGAGCCTTGTGCATATTCATTTTGGGAAAAATATTAGAATATATTTTTGTTTATGGACATTCATTACATTATATATACTCCAAACCTTTGGTCTATACCACAACACATAAACTACATAAAAATAAAATAGAATTTTCTATAGTCTTCCAGCTAAGATTTAACTAACTTTGTGTGTGTGTGTGCATGCTAGAGATTGGATTCAGAGCTAAGGAACAAGCTAGATAAGAGTTCTACTACCACCGGGCAGTGGTGGCGCACGCCTTTGATCCCAGCACTTGGGAGGCAGAGGCAGGTGGATCTCTGTGAGTTCGAGGCCAGCCTGGTCTGCAGAGCGAGATCCAGGACAGGCGCAAAGCTACACAGAGAAACCCTGTCTCGAAAAACAAAACAAAACAAAACAAAACAAAAAAAAAAAGAGTTCTACTACTGAGCCAAACCCCATTTTTAAAAAAGTCTCATACACAGTTGACCTGACATTCCTTATGTAGCCAAGACTAACCTTGAGCTGTTGATCCTCTTGCTTCCGTCTCCCAAATGCTGTGATTATGTAGGTATGCACCATGATGCCCGGTTTATGCAGTCCTTAGGATCAAACCCAGGGATTTATGCATCCTGGTAAATGCTCTGCTGACTGAGCTCCATTCCACCTTTCTCCCAGCACACTTCTAACATAGTTGGTAAAGAGATTAGCTCAGTTGTTTTGACCCAGCAAAGTCAGAATGGACAACAGGTATTAGTGATATTGTGTTCTCTGGCAAGAAACAGACACCAAAAGGGTTTTATTTTTAACCATCTCTTGAGGATAAGGTCTTTCTGGTGGAATGTATGCCTGTTTGAGACCAGCGAAGTCTGGAGGTTTAGCTCAGTGATAGAGTACTTACCTAACATGCATATAACCGTGTTTGATTTCCAACATGGCAGAAAAGGAAAAAAATAAAGAATGGTTGAAGGAATCTGGGTGCTTAGACTTTTGTTGTCTGTTTTGTTTTGAGATAGGATCTTTCTATATAGTCCTGGCTCTCCTGCAGGAACTCACTCTGTAGACCAGCCTGGCCTCGAACTCACAGAGATCCACAGTCTCAGCCTCCCTGAATGCTGGGATTAAAACTTTGTAGTACCTATTTTTAAAAGCATGTTCAATTTGGGGCTGGGAGAGATAGTTCTTGGTAAAGTGCTCGCTGTACAACCAGGAGGACCCGAGTTCAGTCCCAGAACCCATATGAACTGCTGTGCAGGGGCTGGAGAGATGGCTTGGTGCTTAAGAGTACTTGCTGCTTTTCCAGAGACCTAGGTTTAGTTCCCAGTACCTACATGGAAGCTTAAACCATCTGTACCTCCAGTTCCAGGAGATTTGATGTCCTTTTCTGATGACCTTGAACACCAGGCATGCATGTGGTATATCCATCCATGCATGCAAGCAAAATACCCACACACGAAACAAAAATAAATCTTTTTTTCTTATTTATTTATTTTGAGATAAAATAGATAATCTTTAAAAACCAAAATAAAACCCCTCTGTTCATGATGACATACACTTACAGTCTCAGTGCCAGAGAGGCAGAGCCATGCACATAGATCCCTGGGCCTCGGTGTCCAGTCAGCCCAGCCTTCTTGATGAGCTCCAGGCAAACGAGAGACTGTGTGAGGACTGACTTCTGCCTCCAAATGCATATGCGCAGAGTATACAGAAACAGCAGGATTTGAAAGCCGGGCGGTGGTGGCGGTGCACACCTTTAATCCCAATGCTCGGGAGGCAGAGGCAGGCGGATCTCTGTGAGTTTGAGCCCAGCCTGGGCTACCAAGTGAGTTCCAGGAAAGGATCCAAAGCTACACAGAGAAACCCTGTCAGATAAATAAGTAAATAAGTAAGTAGGATTAAAAACCATTTATCCTAATAACTACTGTGATGTGGAACGACGGCTGCTTCTGGTCATTTTCTCTGAATTCCTCAATTGTCTTTTTACAAGCTGGGGAAGTTTTTCTCTTTGTTGGTTTTTTCTTTTAATTAGAGAATGAAGATAGTTGAGTTTGAATTTGTGTTTTTGAGATAGAGCCTTGTCACATAACGTAGGTTTACCCGGACTTGTGATGTTCCTGTCACAGCCTTCAAGTGCTGGGATGAAAGGCTGGTACTTCTAGGCCCAGTTTGCCTTGGCAAATATGATTGTAGCAAACTCCTTACCTTTTAGTGAAATCAGAATTAAAACAAAAGTTAATTTTTTTCTCCTTTTTTGGTGTTTGTAGCTCTGGCTGTCCTGGAACTCTCTATGTAGACCAAGCTGGCCAAACTCACAGAGATCCTCCCAAGTGAGGTGTGAGCTACCATGTCAGATTTGAAAATTAAACATTTTTGATCTGTGCTAGGGATGTAGCTCAGTTGTTAGAGTGCCTGCCTAGTAGTCACAAGGCCTTGGTTTCAGCCCTCAGCACCACACAAACTGGTGTAGTGGCACATGCTTGTAATTTTAACACCTGGGAGGGTGAGAAGTTCAAAGTCCTCTTTAGCTATATATGTTGAGTTTGAGTCCAGCCTGGGTTACTGAGGGACCATGTTTCAAAAAACAAAAGAAAAGAAATTTAATCTGTGTTTATTCTTCTATCAACAATAGTTATAATTCAACATCCAGTCATATATCTTGGACTTCACTTGGATGCAAAACTACTTCTGTTAAAATATAATTTAGGCTAGGTGGTGGTGCATGCTTTTGAATCCAGAGGCAGGAGGGTCTCTGTGAGTTCAAGGCCAGCCTGATGTACAGAGTGAGTTCCAGGACAGCTAGAGCTACACAGAGAAACCCTGTCTCAAAAAAAAAAAAATAATAATTTTTAGATAATTTTCATTAGCTAGAATTCAGAGCCTGTTCTTTTTCCGGTAAGTATCACGGACTAGATTTGGAACTGGGGGTTTTCAGGTTTGGGTTGTAGCTCTGATGTGGATTAACAGGCCATTTGATTTAGGCAAGCCTCCGTGTTTTCATTTTGCTTTGATTTTCCTGTGTGGATGATAGACGGGTAAATGACATTATTTGGTAAAGTGTTCCGTAACTCCTTTACTAGGGATTTAAGTGTTGGCTTTCTCTAAAAGAATGTTTTATGTAATCCCAGCACGTGGGAAGAGAATGCAGGAGGATCATTAGTTCCAGGCCAGCCTTGGCTACATGTAGAGCCATGAGGACGCTTTGGGGAGTGGTTGTTGCCGCCCCACTTTTGGGGTAGCGTCTGGTCTTGTGCTGCTCTGCTGGCTCTGCATCCGCCTGCCGGAGCTCTTCTTCTCGACCTCCTGCCGTGGTCAGGGTGCTGGAAGTACAGATGTGTAGCACCTCACCCACCTTTTTCTCGGGGTTCCAGGGATTGAACTCGGGTTGTCGGCTTGTGTGGTTAACACTTTGACCCACTGAGCCTCCTCCCCAGCCTGGGGTTGTAACCGGATTGTTGCTTCTCCCCAGGTATACAGAAACGAGGGAAGCAGCCCCTCGTCCTTCGACTTCCTGGCAGAAGATGCTTCCACTCTGCTCGTGGGACACTGGGATGGACATCTGTCACTGCTAGATAGACGGACACCTGGGACTTCCTATGAGAAATTTTTTAATTCGTCTTTGGGAAAAATAAGAACTGTTCATGTCCACCCAGTGTCCAGGCAGTATTTTATCGCCGCAGGATTGAGGTATATTTCTTTTCTTCTGTTTTGTTTTTTTTTGAGATGGGGGGGCCCACTTGCTATCCGAGGCTGGGACTCTAGATGTTTGTTACCGTGCCAGGCTTGAGTTATGCTCTTCAAACACTGTTAGGATTTAATCCTTTTAATGTCATGAGCACGTGATTTAGTTTAGTTTCTCAGACATTTGACCTTCTTTATTTCTTTTCTTTTCTTTTTTTTAATTTCAAGACAGGGTCTCACTCTGTAGTCCAGAGTTCCACCTGCCTTTGCCTTCTAAATGCTGGGACTGAAAGCATGTGCCACTATCGTTGACACATGTTTGACTTGTGTGCTCTACAGAAGCCAAGTAATTCCTCTTCACACCCATAGAAATGTTACAAGTGTAATTACTTTTTAATTAGGAATTCTTTTGGCTTAATAAATTGAGAAACTGTTCAAAAAAGCACACGTGTCTCTTTAGCACTGCATGTATTTGCTTCTACTTTTATGAGAAGAAAACTTGTATGTGACCTAGAACTTGGCGGCTCATGTTATTTTGTTTCTTGGAGATTTTTTTTTTTTTGGAGACAGGGTCTTAAAATGGTAGCTATGGCTGTCCTAGAACTCACTCTGTAGACCAGGCTGGCTTTGAACTCAGAGAGATCCACTTGCCTCTGCCTCCTGAGTGTGAGGATAAAGGTGTGCGCCACCACCGCCCAGCACTTGGAAATATTGAAAACCTACTAGAAACTAGTCTCTGTGTCTGAGGTAACAGAGATCTTCTGTATCTTGGAATTTTTCCAATATTTATTTTCCTATGCCAGTCGCTGTCTGTAAAGTTATAGATTAGAGGGTTTTGTCTTAAGTTCTTAATGTAGTCGGTGTCTGAGTGTGTATCGTAGGCTTAGAGTGAGCCTACTCTGGGCTCACTGCATGGGCTGTACTGATAATTCCTCTTCCTGCCCCAGGGACGTTCATGTTTATGATGCGAGGTGCCTGAATTCCAAGAGAAGCCAGCCTTTGATCTCTTTGACTGAGCACTCGAAGAGCATTGCCTCGGCGTATTTTTCACCCGTTACCGGTAACAGAGTGGTGACCACTTGTGCCGACTGTAAGCTGAGGTAAGCTCAGAAGACAGAACCACGTTTTTAGGGGATCTGTTTAGACTGCGGCTGTGGTGTCCGTAAACTAGAAGTTTTGTTTACTGCTGCTGTGGATTCACTAGTGTTACTGTGTTATAGGCCCTCCCTCTCTCTCCCCCTTTCCTGTATACCTCCCTTTTTCTCTCCCACCCCTTTCCCTCTCTGTCCCACCATTTACTCCCACTTACCCCCCCCCCCCCCCCCCCCCCCCCCCCCCCCGTGTATTCCAGGCTGACCTTGAACTTGCCATCCTGGTTTGACCTGAGTACTGGGATGACTGGTGTGTTCACCATGTCAGTTAAGAGATGCTTGCTCTACTTTACAAGTGTGTTAGATGGAAATTGCAGAGCCCCAGACTTCAGGCATGTAGAAAACAGAAAAAATGATGCTTCTGCACAAGCTAATAGGTGTGGTTTTAGGGTTCTAGCTTTACAGCTACTTCCCCCAAGCTGAAAAAATGTCAAGTTAAAGAAACACGAAGAGCCTTTTGTAGTCCTAGTTTTTTTGACAGGTTGAGGCAGGCAGATCCTTTGAGCATAGATGGGCAATATAGTGAGACCTCCATCTCTAGAGAAAAGATGTAGAGACAGTTAATGAAACTTTAGGGGTAAATGTTTCTGTTCTCTTTGAGAATACTTAATTTTGTTTCAAATTTGCAAGCTCTTTAGGAGTTAGAATTCATCTATTGAATGTATCCCATGGTCAAGAATGGCAAACACGCCGGGCGGTGGTGGCGCACGCCTTTAATCCCAGCACTCGGGAGGCAGAGCCAGGCGGATCTCTGTGAGTTCGAGGCCAGCCTGGGCTACCAAGTGAGTTCCAGGAGAGGCGCAAAGCTACACAGAGAAACCCTGTCTCAAAAAACCAAAAAAAAAAAAAAAAAAAAAAAAAGAATGGCAAACACATGATCTGCAGTGCCCAGTTAGTGTCTAGTAGTGTTTGTGAGCATCACCAGGAGATGATGTGAGGTTTATCATGGCATTTCAGGTCCCCTTCCTATCCACATAGTTTCCTTTGTATTGGCATCTTTTTATCCATTTTTATTCATTATCAAAATTATTCATTTTATTCATTCATAGAGTTCATGCTTACTATATTACCTCTAGTAATTAAGCTTGCTAGTAATCAAACTCGTCAAGAAGTTCTAGTGCCAAGACATTGCCCTGGGTCAGCTGGGCACAGAAGAGGAGGTGTGATCCTGAGGCTGGCTTCCTTCTACCAGGGTACCCAGTAGAGGATTCTGGGTCTCTCCACTTTTGTGCTGGCCAATCAGCCTCTTCGGCAGTTTGGAAATGACACATCAGGCTATCAACTAAAGAGTCAGAGGAAGATTCCCTTTTCTTTTTTAAACAATGTATTTATTTTTATTTTATATGCATTGGTATTTTGCCTGCATCTATATCTGTGTGAGGGTGTTGGATCCCCTAGAACTGAAGTTACAGTTGTGAGCTGCCATGTGAGTGCTGGGAATTCAACCTGGGTCCTCTGGAAGAGCAGTTAGTGCTCTTAACCACTGAGCCATCTCTCTAGCCCCAGAAGATTACTTTTTATACATGCATGCACTCTTAGAGTATTTGTGAGTTTTCATACCACAGCCTTTATGTGTGTTTGAATGTGAATATAGTTTCAGATGCCAGATTGTCACTTTAGAATGTACATGCCAAGCTGGTGTGGTGGTGCCTACCTATAATTCCAGCACACACAGGAGGTCAAATAGGAAGATCCATGGTTCTAGGCATACTGTCGTAAAGAAGAAATTTTTTTGTTTTTTAGAGTAATAGAGAATAATGACTGTGTAATTGTCCTCAACCTTTATTGCAGAGTCTTTGACAGCAGCGCTCTATCGTGCCAGATTCCTCTCCTCACTACTGTCAGGTAGGCCTCTGCACCACATACCCTCGGTCCTGGATTGCTGTGCGCAGCAGTGTGTAGAAGGGGCGTGTTAGGCATGTGACTGTCAACGAGAGGCTGTAGTCCTGGCTGTGTGTGTTGTGTTGTGTGAACATCCTCACTTTCCAGTCCTGCCCAGAGGAGCTCTTGCTTCTGGGTCTCAGCAGCCCAGCTCTAGTTGGCATGTGCTCTCTGCAGGTTCTTTTTGGTCAAAACTGAGGTCTTTATTGTGACTGGAGTTACACTCAGTACCTTATTCAAGAAGACTGCCACTCCTTGATGGGGCTGCCTGTTTGTTCTGGGCTTAGGTTGCTTCAGCATGTGCCTGCCTCATGTTTCTGATGGCCCGCCTCTGGAACCCACTTTGGATGTGTGCCAGCTTAATGTGTAACTCTATTCCGTATGCCATGCCTTCCCTCTGGAGGTGGTTTTTATCGTGTTTGAAGTTGGGTGTGTCTGGGCTTTGTCAGTGGCAGTTTTCGGAGGCTCCTTTTAAGCATATTTTGTTTCCTTTTTGTTTGTTTGTTTCCCTTTTTTTTTTTTTTTGCCCATTTCATTTTATCTTTCAGATGTTATGTTTTAATTTATGAGCTTCTTTTTTGTTTTGTTTGTTTGTTTGTTTGAGACAGGGTCTCACTATGCATCCCTAGCTGTTCTAGAACTCCTGTGGAGACTAGGCTGGCCTTGAACTCACAGACAGCCTCTGTCTCAAGTGCTAGGATTAAAGGTGTGTGCCACCGTTCCCAATTCTTATTTAATTTATTAGCAAATAAAAAATAGATTTTGAAATATGTATGCATTATAGAATGGCTAAATTGAGCTATTTAACGTGTATCATCCCACATTTCTTTTTTCTGTTTTTTTTCCCCTCTGATGATGGTTTGGAGGTAAATGTGCTGGCTGAGCAATCGAGAGGACTATGGAGTTCCATTTCTGAAACCTATGGTGGGTGTCGGCAGCTCACAACTGCCTGTAACTCCAGCTGGCCTTTGAGGGCACTGTACACACATGGAATATCCTTACACTGCCAATGTACACAAATAAAAATTAGATAAATCGCCGGGCGGTGGTGGCGCACGCCTTTAATCCCAGCACTCGGGAGGCAGAGCCAGGCGGATCTCTGTGAGTTCGAGGCCAGCCTGGACTACCAAGTGAGTTCCAGGAAAGGCGCAAAGCTACACAGAGAAACCCTGTCTCGAAAAACCAAAAAAAAAAAAAAAAAAATTAGATAAATCTTAAAAAAGAAAAGAAAATACCCAAACCCTAACTATATTTCTAGAATAGGTCTTCTGAATCTTTCCCACTCTGAAAGTTTGCATTCTTTGACCCGTACCTCCCCAGCCCCCACTACCAGCTTCTCTTAACTGTTCTTTGAATGTTAGTGCTGAGAGGACATCCTTACCTTATTCTTGATCCCAGAGGAAAAGCCGTCAGTCTGCATCGGGTCTGATGCACTGTGGCTTCTCACGTGTGGCCTTCCTTCATTGTGTGGTGATTGTCTCCCCCTGTTCCCAGTTTGTTGAGTGAGTGTGTCATGAATTCATTTTCAGCATCAACTGTGATGATCATGTGCCTGTCCTTCACTTTGTTAACATGGTATGTTAGTTACACTGTTTGGGTTTTATTATGGTGGACCATCCATCCTTGTCTCCCACTGGACCATGGTGTGTAATTCTTTACTGTGCTGTTGAATTTGGTTTGTTGACAAGGTTTCTCTGTGTAGCTTTAGAGCCTGTCCTGGAACTCACTCCATAGACCAGGCTGGTCTCGAACTCACAGAGATCCACCTGCCTCTGCTTCCCGATTGCTGGGATTAAAGGCATGGGCCACCACTGCCTGGCGGTTGTTAGTATTCTTTTGAGGATTTTTTTTTTTTTTTTTAAGGCAGAGTCTCTTTATTCTAGTTTGGCCTGGAACTTCTTGTACCTGAGGATGACCTTGAACTCTCAATCTTCTGCCTCCACCTTCCCAGTTCTTGATTATAAGTGTGTTCAAACCATACCTAGTTTATGAGGTACAGGGGATTGGACTCAGGGCTTTGCGTATGATAGATAAACACTCTACCAAGTGAGCCACACCTCCAGGTTGAGGATTTTTGTGTCAGTGTTCATTAAGAAAGCTGGGTATGGCCGGGCGGTGGTGGCGCACGCCTTTAATCCCAGCACTCGGGAGGCAGAGCCAGGTGGATCTCTGTGAGTTCGAGGCCATCCTGGACTACCAAGTGAGTTCCAGGAAAGGCGCAAAGCTACACAGAGAAACCCTGTCTCGAAAAACCCAAAAAAAAAAAAAAAAAAAAAAAAGAAAGCTGGGTATGGAGGTGCACACAGGTGATGTCTGTATTGGAGGGTAAGGCAGGAGGATTGCCACAGGTTGGAGGTGAGACTGAGCTACATAGTAATTTCTGGACTACAGAATATTGTCTCAAACAAACAGAAACAAAAAGGAAAACTAATGCTATGGAAACTTATTCTCAAATCTCTCCCCTCACATCCTCCCTCTGTGTGTGAATCCCCTTAAATAGTTATGAATGAATTTATATTCTTTTAATTCTTTAGAGTTAGTCTTGACAAATTGTGTTCCTAGGAATTTGTTTCTTTGTTGTTCAGTTTGTTGGTATATGATTGTTCATAGTATTTTTTTTTTTTTATTATTCTTTTATGTACATTGGTGTTCTGCCTGCATGTATGTCTGTGTGAGGGTGTCAGATCTTGGAGTTACAGACAGTTGTGAGCTGCCATGTGGGTGCTAGGAATTGAACCCCAGTCCTCTGGAAGAGCAGCCAGTGCTCTTAACCGCTGAGCCATCTCTCCAGCCCCCATAGGATGTTCTTAGAATTCTTTTTCTTATGTGTGTATAGAACAGTGAGCAGGAACGGTACTGTTTTAGGGCTGGAATGTAGCTCTGTCTGTAGAGCACTTGCCTAACAAGCATGAAACCCTGGGTTTGATTCCCAGTACTGCATAAAGGAGGTAAAGCTTGTGTGGTGTAGGCCTGTAATCTCATTACCTGGGAGGTAGAGGCAGGGGGATCAGAAGTTTAAGGTCATTCTCTGCTACATAGGGAGTTCAAGGTCAACCTGGGTTACATAAGACCTGCTTTTAAAAAAGAGAAAAAAAGTGACAAGTTATCTTTTATTTAAAAAAAATAAGACTTGTTTATGTGTATGTTTTTTTTTTTTTTTTTTTTTTTTTTGGTTTTTTGAGACAGGGTTTCTCTGTGTAGCTTTGCACCTTTCCTGGATCTCGCTCTGTAGACCAGGCTGGCCTCAAACTCAGAGATCCGCCTGGCTCTGCCTCCTGAGTACTGGGATTAAAGGCGTGCGCCACCACCGCCCGGCGTGTATGAGTTTTTTGCCTATGTGTATGTATGTGTACCACGTGTGCCTGGTGCTTGCTAAGGTCAGAAGAGGGGCATTTGTCCCTTTGAGCTGGCGTTATGGATGGTTCTGAGCCATCATATGGGTGCTGGGAACCAAACCAATAAGTGCTCTTGACCACTGAGCCATCTCGCCAGCCCCAGAAAAGGTCCTGTTTCCATAGGCCTGGGTCACCACCCTCTGAGCACAAGCCGGAGGCTGGAAGGTGAAGCAGACAGCAGGAGCGTTTTTTCTACACTGGGCTTGGGTTTTGACTTTCTGCTCTATGCTACCTTGAATTATATAAATTTCAAAGTACATACTATTTTGTTTTTTTCCCTACTAGGCATAACACTATCACTGGGAGATGGCTAACGAGGTTCCAAGCTGTGTGGGACCCTAAACAAGAAGACTGCTTCATAGTTGGCAGTATGGCCCACCCACGGCGGGTGGAAGTCTTCCACGAGACGGGAAAGAACGTGTATTCTTTTTTTGGAGACTGTCTTGTGTCTGTGTGTTCCCTCAGTGTTATGCATCCTACCCGGTATGTTCTGGCTGGAGGTAATTCCAGTGGGAGGTTACATGTTTTTATGCATCAAGAAAGCTTCTGAGCTATTGGGTAGGTTCAACAGTTTGCTCAACAGTTTGCTCCAATTGTGTGGCAGAGGAAGCGAGCGCTTCTCTCAGCTTCGTGTATCTGTTTGGTAATGGGTTATATTAAGCAGCTGTAACATTGCTTTCTCGGTGAGACTGTAGAGAATGTAGCATTAGCAAGGGAGGACCCTGAAGGCCATCTCTAGAGGAGGAGGGAGGGGCCTGGAGCAGAAGCTGGAATGCTTTCAGCACTTGGTTCTGAGACAGGCTCTTGTGTGGCCCAGGCTGGCCTCAGACTCTGTAGCCAAGGATGACCTGGAACCCTGGAGCCTCTTGCCTCTACCTCTGAAGTGCTAAGATTACAGGCTTGCGCCGCTGCACTCAGCATCTTTCAGCACTTTTAATTAGGCTGTATTTTGAGAAATTCTATCAAATGATAAAGCTTTGAGTGGTCAGTATTAACTTTTCTGTAATATAATGAGACCATTTTGATGCAATAGCGATCTATAGATCTGTGATTTATTTTATAGTTTGGGGTGGATACTGGAATAGGTCCTAAAAGATCATCTAATTATGAAACATTATTAGACCCCAGGGACTGTCACATGCTAGGCAAGTATTCCACTGTTGACTCACCCCCACCTTTGGAACTTAGTTCTGCTTTGTTGATGTTTTTGAGACTAGGGTTTGCTCTGTAGCCCAGGCTAGCCTTGAGCTTCAATCATCCTGCCTCACTTTTCCAAGGGCTAGGACTATTGGTGTTTACTAACATGCCCAGCCAGAACTTAGTTTTGTAAGCTAAGACCCTGTTTTGGGGTCGTTGTATCTCAGTTCAGTGTCACATGAAATCCCACAGTAGTCATTGGGAACCATTGGTTTCTGTGACTAGGGCCTGCATCTGCACACCTCCAGCTTTGTCTGCCTTCTGGGCAGCTCCAGAAATGAGCTGCGACTGCACAGTGTTTCAACTTGCAGCATTCTCCTATAGTCTAGTGTATAACTGTGTACACACTTTAACTGTGTACAGCTAACTGGTAGCTTTTCACATGAAATTCCTAACTCCAGCACTTGAGGTAGAAGCAGGAGAATCAGGAGTTCAAGGCCAACCTGGCTCGCCTTCCCTTGTCTCCAAATTAATAAAGTACAGAAAGCAAAATGAGGATATTTTTATTTTTTAATTAGAGTATTTTAAAATAAAACTTAGTTTCATATGTTTATGTATATTCTGCTAAATCAGTGTGGCCTGGTGTCACAGAGTAATACATATTCAACCTTTTCCATTGTTACTTGCCAAAGTTACTTCTGAAAGACTTAAATAGCTTAGGCAGTATGTTTGAATTGTAAGAGGGAATGCTCTTACAACTATATGTCACAGGAATAAAGTATGATTTTCCTTGATGAGTCATTTCTTTGAGTAATCTTCTTTATAATTAAAAACGTAGAGGCTAGAGATGGCTCAGCAATTAAGAGCACTGGTTGCTCTTCCAAATGACCCAGGTTTGATGCCCAGCACCCACATGGTGGTCACAACCCTGGGTAGCTCCAGCTGTGGGACACTTAGTGCTTTCATGTGGCACCTGTGGGTATTAATTATCATGTGTATTAATTATCATGGATATTCATGAGGAAATGGTAGTTCTGTTTCATAGCTCAGAAAGTTCTTTATTGTATTTACTTTCATTATATGTATGTGCCCTGCATGTGTGTGTTGCTTGCCTGAGGTCAGAGAAAGGCGTCAGATCCCTTGGAACTGAAGTTCTAGCCAGGTGTGAGCCACTACGTGGGTGTGGGATCTGAACCTGGGTCCTCTGCAATTGCTGAGCCATCAATCTCTCTATGTACTGGTAACTTTTGATAAGGTGAGACAAGTTACAAGTTTAAAGAAAAAAAAAGACGCATTCTTTTACGGTATTTAAATATTTATTTAAGTTTAAAAATAATCTTCATGGCACCAATGATTTTATGCTAACTACATACTGCATATGTAGAAAAAAGTACATTGCTTTGAAGGAAAATGTAACTTAAGAGATTTTGGCACACGAAAGGTTAACAACTATATCTTTTTAAATGAAACTAAGAAATTCACATTTGTAGGAAGTTCACCCTCTACTGCTTAAAGGTACAGCACGCTGTTCAGGAGGTATTACCTCTGATCGACGGCGCTATGCAAGTCTGTTTTTCTACAGTGAGATCAACTAATTCTGAGAGGAAAGAAGAGACATAACATAGAACACAGCAAAACCAGACTGAAAACCAGAACTTTTTTAATGATGAGAAAATACTGAAAAACACTAGTCACCAGTAACAGGGCTTTGTTGTTGAACTACTGAAAACTATTTGGGAACCAAATCGAAGGAAGCCTTTTCTGTCCTTATTGTCTGGGATAAGCCTTGGGGAAAAAAACAACCTGAAGGTTCCGGGTCAGATGCTGGAAATGTCAAGGACCGCTGCACTGTTAGGACTCGAGACACAAGAAAACACCAGGCAATGGCAGGCTGCCTCCCTCTCGTGGCTGTGAAGGGTCAGAGGTGAGGCTACCACTCACTGCATAGACGCTGTGTTCTACAAACTGAGGTAGGAGCACTACACTAGAAGGCAGTCTGCTATGTTGCATAAGAATAGAGATCCCGGCTCACACCAGCCCTCTTTCCCAATAGCCTTTGCATCTCTGGGGGACATTCCCGAGAGTCCTGTGCTAAGTGAACCTTTGCTGTGCAGTTGACAAGTGGCAGTGGCTCATTGCTTTGACGTGCTCTCTAGTCTACTAGGATCCCCTCAGTTTGTCTTCTCATGTGGTATGTTTTAGGTTTTACCCAAACTCTTGCTGGTATGGACATGATCAGATAGGCCTGTGCCTGTTCTCAGAGTCACTGCTGTTCAGAGTGGCAGTACTTGATCTTGGTATCAGCTGCGATATCACTGCTGGTTGGTGGAGCACACAGCAAAGCCCCCATGAAGACATGGTTCTGGGTCTCATGTGAGACAGGAATCGGAGCTGGCCCTCTTGCTAACGTGTGGTAGTTGTATAGTGTAGGTCAGGGTCTGCATCTTACGGCTGTAGGCCAATTTCAGCGTATTACAGTTTCAGGCTTTTGTTTTTTGGAAGTGGGAGGTGGTCTGAGACAGGGTCTCATGAATCCCAGGCTGCCCTTGAACTGCTTTGTAACCTTGAGCTTCTGATCCTCCTGTCTCCAGCTGAATGCTGGGACCACAGCTATATGCTACCACACCTGGTTTTATGTAGTGTTAGCGATGAAATCAGGGCCTTATGAATGCTAGGCAAGTACTCCACCCACCGAGCTACATCCTCAGCCCTACACTTTTTTCTAAAATAGCGTTTTCTTGGAGTAAGCCACGTTCCCTTATGCATACATTATCAGAGGTGTGCAGAGTATGGTCCACAAACCAAAACTGTATTAAAAGAGGTTTGCTGACCTTTAGTCTAGACATGAATGGCATCTTTAGATTTACGTAAATGCCCTGGCATCCTCCAAACCACTGGTTTTCTGTGGCTGCTATATTCAGAACATGAACATGGCAAAAAAATTAAGAGGAGCTCACGTGTACGACAATCCAATCTCCTGCATTTGGGGCTGTTTAGCTCCGCTCTTGTCTGGGTCCCAGGAGTATACCCCTTGACTGTCCTTGAATAAGTCCTTGGGCCTCAGATGACTTAGCAATCCCTCCCTGAGATGAAAACAAGATCTGTGTGTGATTGTTTTTAAGTGCAGAGGCCTGGGGACTCCTGCTCACCTTAGTGTGTTCCTGTGCTGCTGTGAGTGACGCCCTCCAAGTGTTCTGCTTGGCCTTATTTCCAGGAGCAGAGGCTGACCCGATGGGTGGCATTTCTACAGTGAGTGCTGGTCTCTGCCATGGTCAAATTCTGTCTCTTGTAGGCATCACTTAGAGATTCTGTTTATTTAGAGTGTCTCCTGGTCCCTTCTAAGGCTGCTGCTCATTCTTGATGTTTTCCTCAGATCTGTTTCTTGCATCTATAAGTTCATCAGGTTCTATTTTCTTAATCCATAAAATAAAAACAAAATATGAATAGATAAGAAAATAACATTTTGCTGTTAAAATAGAGCTTGAAATAGTCCTTTTTTGGAAGGGCACACTGTACAAAGCAAGCCCTGCTCTCTACACCCTGCAGGCTCTCAGGCCACTTAGCACAGGTCTCTGGTAACTACGCCACAGGACATTTCCCACAGTGCACTTGGCTGCCACTGACTTCATTTAATACCCCAGAAGTGCTAGAAGAGTCTTCAGAAAAAAAACCAAACCATTAAATAAAACTCAGTGATGTCCACTAGGCTCTACTCTAAGGGACAGACTTACCCCACCCCTTCTGATGCTGCTGCTGCTGTGGTGGTGGTCCCTTCACATGCCCACTCTGCTCAGATTTGAAAAAACAAAAGGAAAAGAAAAATCCAACTCAGACCATTGTAAGAAGCAATTTTCTATTTAATTGTTCTGCACAGGGTTCGATTTGCTATAAAGCTGTCTGGCAAGTAGACCTCAACCATCCTGGTTGTCCCCAGCCCTGGCCTGCCTGGCTGGGTCTCCCGGGACCCAGTGGTGGTACCAGTGTGAGAGCTGCAGGGTACAGAGGACAACAGCTCTCTGTCACATCTTCAGCGAGTGTCCCATCTGCCAGGTGACACTGCTGCAATAATCAGTGTAGGAAAATAAATTATTTTTATTTGGATACCTTCGAAATAATACACATCTATGAAAAATTAAAATTCGAACCCCAAAATGATCCTGCATATTGAAGGATGAGAAACATAAGAGCTGCTGAGCCTTTCTTGGAAGAGCCTCTGAAGAAATTGAGATTTCCCAGTTTCTGTACGGGGCCTTAGCCTACATCCCTTTCTTCTTCTGGGAAACAACCCTCCTAGGCTGCAGTGGACTTTGAGTCATGAGGGAGGACTTGGTGTGGGTGTGCCGATGGTTCCGCGATGGGTCCCATTGCTGGGCATGGGTAGCCGGGTTCCATGGTCCACCTGGCTAGTTATTGGGAGGAGTCATGCCTTCTCAGGTGTCAGTGAGCAGGCTCACCACTGAGCGGATTTTGCAGGCAAACCATCGTCTGAGGGGACAAAAGTATTGATAGTGGAATTGTTCAAACTCGGGGGTCTGGCGGATATCTCGGAAAAAGGCAATGTCAAGGTCAGACTCAGTGAGGAGGATGAGGAGGAGGAGCAAAGCAAAGAGGAGCCCCACGGTCACAAGGAGCAAACGGAGGACACTTAAAACAAACTTATTCACCTGTTCTTGCTCTGGCCCGCCGTGCCCCTGGCACAAGGCCCTCAGCTCTCCCCCGAGGGCCTCCACCTCTGCCGCAGTCGGGGTGCTGGCCTCAGACTCCTTCTCCTCCTCAATGCTGCACGTGGCTCCATTGATCTGCCGGGAAAGCAGCATCAACTCCAGGCTGTGCTCGGCCACAGGGGTGGGTAGCACACTGTCTGCGGGGCTGTAGGCCTCGTCCGCGATCACAGCCACGCGTTCGTTGCTGTCTGCCCGGCTGCTCCTCACGTGAGGCAAGAAGGTGTCCCCATGGGAAGAGGACCGCACTGGGGTGGAGTGGGCACTGTCTCGTAGGGACTCCAGGCCTGGAGAGGTACAAAGCACAGGAATAAGCTCTGTGGGTCTCAACATACTTGAATGCCTGACGGCATCCATTCAGTTTGTCAGGTGCCTCTCCGATCGCTCCACGTTACAGTAGCAGGAGCTGTAGACGCCATACTTAAGACATCAAGAACAAGGCAGAAGTACCCGATGGGCATTTTAAAGTGTTTAAAAATTTCATTTGTGTGTCTTTCCCCAACTCCATAAAGTGGTGGGGTGAGCAGTCACAGGGCCCGTTCTGAAGTCACCTGGCTGGCTGTTCATGGCCAAGCTGTGGATGGAACCGAAGCCTGTGATCACAGTGTTGCTGATGGAATGCAGGTACATGGGGTCTGTGGCCTGCACCTGCATTGGGTCTTAACCACCCAAGGACCTAGCGAGATGACTTGAAATTTAAGAGCCCCTGTCCCTTGAACCAGCACTCTTGATGTCTCTGTATTTCCTGAGTTCTCCCTGATGTCACCACTGGCACACGAGATAGGAATGCTTTCTGCATCACCGATGAAACAGAACCCTTGAAAAGCCCTGACGGTAGCATGATCCTGGCCTCTGCCCCACTTCTGTTCTGTGCCCTCAGCACAGGCACATGACAGCCTCTAAATGCCTGTCCCTTCACAAGGACATCACTGACAACCAGATCTCCCAAAGCATGACCAGCGTGGTTGCCAGCAGCCACTTCAGTGCAAATGTGTCCTGGCTTATGATTAATCCCTAAACTGGCGGGGGGAGGAGAGGCAAGACACTGACGTCAGAGGACAGCCAGCTAGAAGCTGTGGTGTGCTACATTGTCGGTGGCTTCAGTAAACAGGACAGTGGGAGGTATCCATTCTAGTAGAGCGTCTGGCCACTAGAGTTGCTTGCCAAACACAATGTTTTGTTCAGAAGACCTCACCTGTGAGGTCATTCCTCCTCAGGCTCATCTGAACAAGACAATTCAGCCAGCACCCCATCTCCCCACCTCTCCCTTCTTCCCCCCTCCATTTCTCCTTTTAAAACTTGTTCTTGCACTCGGGAGGCAGAGCCAGGCGGATCTCTGTGAGTTCGAGGCCAGCCTGGACTACCAAGTGAGTTCCAGGAAAGGCGCAAAGCTACACAGAGAAACCCTGTCTCGAAAAACCAAAAAAAAAAAAAAAAAAACAAAAAACTTGTTCTTATGGGTTGATTTTTACCTTTTCTTTTTTTAAGATTTATTTATTATGTATACAGAAGAGGGTGCCAGATCTCAATCCAGATGGTTGTGAGCCACCATGTAGGTGCTGGGAATTGAACTCAGGACCTCTGGAAGAGCAGTCAGTGCTCTTAACCTCTGAGCCATCTCTCCAGCCCAGATTTTTACCTTTTTGCTGCATATGGAATGTTGTATCTTATTCAAAATGTTATTGTATATATTTAAATTATCCAGAAACATCACCATCAACTTTAGCACTGATTATGGAATAACTTCCCACTTTAGACAATTTGTCCTGGATTTTAAAATGAAATACATACTTTTGTTTCCCTTGTAAGTAGCATATAGAATATTAGGTCCCACTCTGGCATTTTCAGACATCATCTGTTTTTGTTGCTCTTCTTCCTTCACCCTAGCCCCTGCTCGCAGTACCCCGCCCCCCACCATATCGCCTTTTGCACTTCCGTGGTGTATTTGTTCTATTTCCTCAAAACGGTTTACCCCTTTTTTCAGAGCCACCCTCGCCTGTATCCCATTTTGGCTTCAAACTCCCTGTAAAGTTAAAGTTGACCTTGAACTTCGGGTCCTCCTGCCGCCGCCATCCAAATGCTGGGATGGCAGGTGTGTGCCACCGTGCTTGGTGTATACAGTGCTGGGGACTGAACCCAGAGCCTTGCGTGTTGCCCAGGCATCCAGTTGAGTTCTTCCCTAACCCCTCATAACCTCCCCCCTCCACGGTCCCCTTCCTGTTTACATGACCTACACTTATACCCACATATGTAAAGATTAAAAGTCAAGACTCTCCCTGGGAGAAAACGTACAGTACTCTAACTGGGTTACCTCCCTCAATAATTTCCAGGTGTCTCCATTTTCTGCAAGTTTCATAATTTCAGAAAATGCATCTTCTGTTACTACAGCAGCCACCGTTCACCCTGCCCTTCATCAGAGCCCTTAATCTGGGTTGGGGGCGGGGAGGCCGGGGTTGGTGCTGGGGAAGGATGGGCTCAGTGGTACGGCAAGACAGGTGTAAATTACCTTGGAGGTGCTCTAGCTGATGCCTCTGTCCAGAGGTGGCTCCCAGTGGGCCTGGGGGGACAGTTGTTAGGACCCTACCCTGAAGCCGGGGTCCCATCTTCAGGATGCGAATGCTTAGGGGTCGAAGGCAGTGGTTAGTCAGCCGGAGCTGGACGTGGACTCTGGTACGAATCTTAATGAGACTCTTCCCCATGGTGGCCCGGGAAGGCAGTTCCTTCTTCAAGGGAAACTACGCAGGCAGGGGAGGTATGGAGATGAAACAGCCAGCCAGCTAAGGACAAGGACTCTTCACCAGTTCATGCCATGGCAGCTCCCTCTAGCTGTGCCTTCCACCTGCATAAGAGTGCTGGCTCTGGGAGCCTCATGGTAGGCTGAGCTGCGAGCAGGGAGAAGCTCGGAGAGGAGAGGCCAGCCTTATCAGGGGACTGGATTCAGGCAGAAGTGCTTACATCCATAAAAAGCAATGCTTCCCAGCCCGCAGCGAGTTCTCTGAGGCCCCTGTCGGCCCAGGCTCTCAGGGAAAGGGAAACGGACTAACTAAAATTGTCCCCGAAAACAGGCTATGAAGTCACACGTAGGCTTTATCTAGGCCACATGGACTGGGAAATCACAGGAACTGAGGTAGAGGTGGCGCTGGGGCTGGGGCTGGGCTGTATCTGTCTGTCCCCCACCCCCCCCACAGCACACACAGCTAAGCTCCACATTCCGTCCCTCCATAGACAGAGTGGGTGAAGGAAACTGCCATTCCTGAGTGTTCTCTGAGGCCCAGGCCTCTGTTGATCTGGGCATCCTCCATAGTAGATATGAAGGCGAAACAAGCCACAGTCTTTTTTTTTTAAATGGTTTTTCAAGACAGGGTTTCTCTGTGTGTAGCCTTGGCTGTCCTGGAACTTGCTCTGTAAACCAGGCTGGCCTTGAACTCACAGAGATCCGCCTGCTTCTGCCTCCTGAGTGCTGGGATTACAGGTATGCACCACCACCCAGCTTCACAGTCTTTGTTTTTAAAATATCCCTGTTCGTGGGGATTTTGTGCTTCATTCAGCCTGTAATGTCATGTTAATGTGGTTTTGGAATTTCCCTCCTGTTTTAAGAGATAGCAAATGAAGTTTTTCTAGAAAAGCCATCGGGCTTCTGTGATGTGCCCTCTAGGGAAGGCCTTCTTGGGCGTATGAACTAACGTCACACAGCCAGCCATTCCTTGGAGTTCTGCTCTTTAAAGGCCCTGGTCACATCCCTTATGGCTCTTCCCTGCCTAGTCAGCTGCATTAGCAGATCCCTGCTCCATGCTTACAAAATGCCAGTGGGGAGGGGCTTCTCTCTAAAGTGCTCTACCTAGCTCACACTCATAATCCAAGCATTTGGGAGGCTGAGGCAGGAGGACTCCTGAAAGTCTGAGGCTAGCCTGGTCTACAAAGTGAAATTCTGTCACAAAACAAAAAGAAGCATTTCATGTACATTAGATTCCTTGCCATCCACAGAGCAGGCAGGGAGGTGCCTTGGTGGTGGCCGCCTCTCCTTGCTTCTCCTTGGAGCTCTGTATAAGTCTCAAGTGAATAGGTGAGATTCATGAGTCACATCCTAAAACCTAAATACAAACCAGAGACCCTCTCACAGAATGATGCTCATTCTTACCTGAGCAGTTTTGTTTTTGAGGTGAGGTCTTGCTATGTACTTCATGCTGGCTTTGAACTCAGGGTGATCCTCCTGCCTCAGCTTTCTGAATGCTGGGATTATAGGCATGTGCTTTCATGATCCTCTGACCTCTACCTGATCACATCAAGTTTCATGCTGGGGACTGAACACCCAGCTTGTATTCCCACCCTTTGTGTAGAACCTTCTCCCTGCCATTGGGCTCTTTCCCCCAAGAGTAAGCAAATGAGTCTCTTCTCAAGGTGGATTGAAGGGGAATCTTTCCCCTCCCCCAGTCTGGGGTATTTGAACATTTGGTCCCCAGTTGGTGATGTTAAGGTTTAGGAGGTGTGGCCTTGCTGGAGAAGTATGCCACTGGGGGTTGGGTTTCAAGATTATAAGCACTACCCATTCTCTCTGCTCTGTGTGTGTTTGAAGGCGGGAACTCCCAGTGTCCTGTTGTTGCGGCCATGCCTGCCTCTTGCTGTGCCTCCCTGCCATGACACACTATCCTTCTGGAACCAGAAGGCAAAATAAACTCCTTATGTATGTTGTTCAGGTCACGGTATTCTATCACAGCAACAGAAAGTAACTAATCCCGTCCCCAAAGAGGAACTTGGCGCATCTCCAGGAGCTCAGACTCACCTTCCATGATGGAGATGTGAACAGCTCTTCTTCGTGTTCTAGGGACGCTGCTCAGCCGTGGGCCATGGGTTATGGAGGGACAGCTGCGGCTAGGAACCATCCCTGCCCTGAGGATTGAACAGAAAGAGAACGGCTTCACCAGTGCACAGACAGATAGGGGTGTCCAGATATCTAACGAATGCTTTTGACCTTTGGCCCCTGAGTCTCAGACATTCTGCTTCAAACTCCTTTCCTTTCACTGGCTACTCAGCGTTTCTAGGGTGTGGCAACAAGTGTCATGGTCTTGGGGGGCAGGACTGTCAGGGAATAGAGTCCTGGGATGAGACATGCTCCTGACATGTGTCTGAAGCCGGTTCTGGCAGTTTTCTTGGTTTCCAATAGGCTGCATAGAAGAGGCTGTGTCGAGGATAGGTAATAATTTCCTGTTCCCAGAAGTACAGGCTGGTGGGCTAATCCTAGCCCTCTTGGCCAGTCTTTGTGAGTCTATTGCGCTTGATGGGGGCAGGCTTCTAGAAATGCACAGCTTACGGATACACATGCAGGGACTGGGAGGTTATTGGAGGTTTTCTGTAATGGAGTAATCACAGCACAGCTCAGTGTCACTGTCGCATCTTTCATGTCTGGGATCTATGTTCAGGCGGGGGAGGGCAGAGCAGAGCTGCCAAGTGAGATGCGCACCCCCCTCCCACCCCCACTCTGATATGCTGTGTGTCTGCAGTGGCTTGTCTTCCCTCGTGTTGTGAAGGGTTGCATGCCTGTTCCTGTGTCCAGTGGACACAGCTTCCTTCCCTCTTCTGCCCTCTGCCTCCTCTTTGGGGATCTGTTTGGGCCAGAAGTTTCACAGAGCTCGGCTTGCTAGGTTCTTTGAGATTTGGGGGTCTGAGCCGGAACTGGTTCAGGAGAAGTGCACAACAGCCTACCTGTGTATTTCTGGTGGCTCCCGTTTGATCTTGGCACTTGACTCCATTACTTCCTTTGCAACCCGGCCGCTGTTAAATGGTAAAATAAACAGCAAGAAAGGAGACTGATCAGGTGCTCTGACTTAGTCAAGAAATGGCATCTGCCCTACCCATCCCCCAAAGCTTCAGTCACTGCAAAAGGATTTCGTGGTGGGGCAGAGTTCTAGCATGCCATGACAGCTTAGCTTATCTCTTCATCATTAGAGTCTCTGGGGTTCCCCTCCCCCACTTTTTTGAAACATGGTCTATGTAGTCCTGGCTGTCCTGGAGCTCACCATCTTGACCAGGCTGGCCTTGAACTCAGAGATCCTCCTCCTCCTCCTCTGTCCCTGCTGGAATTAAAGGCATGGGCCACCAGCTCCATTCTTAATTAGGAAGTATTTCTCTTGTCTTATGAATCACCAGGAAAAAGCCCAAAACCCCCCAGAAAGGAGACACACACACAAAAAAAATTGTCATGGTTCTTATTGTGCTGCTGCTATTGTGATGGCTAACTCCTGAATTATGTTGCAATTGGAAAGGGCAAGTGTGTGGAAGAGAGGTCCCCCGTCATGAGCCTGAGCTCAGCTCACACTTTACCCTCCCAGGAGGCTCTGAGCCATTAGACATCCTAAGTTATGTTTTAAGTTTAAATTACTGTGCTTAAGAGATCTAGAAAACAAAAATGCCTCTAACCTGTAAGCCCCACTTGCCCAAGGACAGATAGCTTCCTGGAATGCTGTGGGCTGTTCATGTGAGATAACAACCACCCATGTATTTTCACCTCTGTAAACAAGCTTGGTTGCCCCAACTACACAGGATGTGCTTGATCACACATGGGCAAGGGGTATGTCATAGGCAGGAAGTATGTCAGGATGTGTGCTGACTTCGTTCTGATTGGACGAAGGCAGGAAATACATAGCCTAGTGGGTTTTAGTGTCATACTCTGGTAATCATGGGCATGGACCTGGTCAGTGTCTGTCATCCTGCCCAGTATTTAATAAAGCTTGCTTCAAATTTGGCTCAAAAGTTGTGGTAGTGGTCTTATTCTCGCCCAGTGGGATTAACACCATGAGGGAAGAAGAGACCCACAGACAGCTGGAGAAGAGGGTGAAAGACTCAGAGGAATTAGGAGGAAACCCAAGGCCCTGCTGAGAGCTCCAGGTTCTCTGTTCTCAAGGCTAAGGCACACGGAGACTGTCCTCTAAAGAAAGGTCTGGAAAGAGATCTAGAATGGCTACTTACTGTCACTATTTACCTGTATCGGAACCGGCTCCCTTTAAAGAATAAATTGCTGCTGGACACGGTGCGAACTTGGCTTGACTTCTCCAGCCTACGGCAAAGCAGAGTTCAGGGTGACACATGGCTCAAGCCACCTCATGGGCCGACGAAGATGGGCAGGTAGCTCCCTGCAAAGGCTACTCGAAACTTCCTTTCAGGTTCAGGAAACAGCCCTCGGTAGTCTGCCCTGGAGTGCTGCCCACTAGGAGGAACGCTTAGCAACTGCAGAGTGGCCACACATGGATTTAGAAACAAGTGCTTGTTCCCAGGAGACAGATCGAAAACAAAAGTATGAGGCAGCAGTTGCTTCCTTCTGTATGAGGTTTGACAGAGAGGATGGGGTTGCTTCTGAATCCCCAGAGCAATGGGAGCTTAGTGGGAGCCAGCCCCTGTATATGGGGGGGGGGGGTCAGGGAATCCCATTCCTTCTGGGCTGCTGCTAAGCCCCACCAGCAGGACGTTTGTCTCTCAAATTTGCTTCTCTCTAGGTTCATATAATTGACTAAACCTAGGCCTTTTCCTCACAGGTGAAAGGAAGATGGTAGCCAAAAAAAAAAAAAAAAAAACACCCCAAAACCCAAAAACCAACCAAACAAAAAACCCTGTCTCAAGCTTGCTAAAGTGTTTCCCTAGTGTCCCTTTGGAAGGAAGCCCGCTCAGGGTAGACTGCACAATGCCTGTTCACTTCACCCTGGTGCTAGTATCAAGTGCACAGTGAGTATTAGGACTGGGAATGCCTTCCCAAGACACAGCTCTGGGGCTGTGGCCCTGGCAACAGGCAGGAGATCAGTTCTGCTGGCTGGAGTCAGCTCACTGAGGAGGAGCACTGTCTGTCACTGAGGAGAGCACTTCTGATTCTCTCAAACTCCTTCTGGACAGTAGAGGGAGCATCTGGCTTGTCAGGGCATTTGGTGATAGCAAGGGTCACCTTAACTGGAGTCTATCACGGTCGCAATGTTGCAATACACTTTTTTTTTCTTTTACAAAGGGTCCCATGTAGCCCAGGCTATCCTGCAATGCACTTTGTAACTGAGGATCACCTTGAACTGATCCTTATGCCTCCAGCTCCTGAGAGCTGGGATAACAGGCATTAGTTACCATGCTCTGTTAATGCAATGCAGAGTGTGGAACCCAGCACCCCATGCTTGCAAGGCAAGCCCCCCCACAAATGAACTGCATCCCCAGCCCAGAACATCTATTAAAGCACACATCATAAATTTTGTTTTTAGGGGGCTGGAGAGATGGCTCAGAGGTTAAGAGCACTGGCTGCTCTTCCAGAGGTCCCGAGTTCAATTCCCATCACCCACAGGGTGAGCTCACAACCATCTATAATGAGATCTGGTGCCTTCTGGCATGCAGGCATACATGCAGGCAGAACTCTGTATACATAATAAATAAATAAATATTAAAAAAAAATGTTTTTAAACAAAACCAAGGGGTTTGGTGAACTGTTTTCTTGGTAACACCTCAGCCTCTCTCTGGTCCATTTCTTTGTGCACTGATGCTTTTGCAGCCCCTTCCTTACTCAGAGAGAACTGGATGCAGAGGCCTCTCAGACTCCTCCAAACTCCAGCAAGCAAAGTTACCTCTGGCTGGATCCTAGCTTCCCAGTAGCAAGCCCAGTGGCCACCACCTCCAGCTCTCCTCCAGCTCTGGGGACCCCATCTTTGATATCAACAGTCCCTATCACATGTCCAACTCACTTGTAGAAGGCTTGATTCTCAATCCCACATTTCCAGAGGTGCTTGCAGGCTTCTGGGGTTGGAGCAAAATATGTGAGAATAATTTTTTTTTCCTGTAAAAAATTCCATAGAGAAACAGCTGAGGTGGGTGGAAAAGTCCAGGACCCTGTGTCCTATGCTGCTGGGGGCCCTCAAGCAGCTGGCTAGCTAGAAGAGGGGTTCACATCAATGACCACCTCACACCTGGCAAACCTAACAGAGCCCTTGGTAAGACGCAGAATGTCCACAGGCATTCTCTGTGGGAACCCCATTCGACTGTTTTCTCGAGGTAGGCCTCTCTTGAGTGGATCCTCTGGGTGCCACCGGCATCTTTCAGGCCTTCCCACCCTTACACACCCTCACCTTGCCTTAGCCGAGGAGGCAGACGGACTCCCCTGTCCAGACTCCTTACTCTTGGCTCCAGAAATGAGGGGGCTGTTGCAGTGTCCCAGCCCTCCCTGGAGAGCAGGAAACCAGCACTCACCTCTTTCTGACTTACATATAAATAGAAAGTCTTCCCTTCAAATTTCAGCTTGGTCACCTCATTCCTAGAAGCACAAAGAGAGGACGTGTCACCGGGCTGTGGGCTGCTTGCTCACAGCTAAGTTGTAGATGCACAGCCCACCCGACTGGAAGAGGCTCCAGGCACAGACACAATCTTAGCCAAAATCAGAACTGAGAACAAGACAGTAGTAGCGCAGTGGCCTTGGAACAGTCATCGGGACAGTTCAACCCACAGTTTCCAGTCAATCACACTGTAATATTGGGGAGAGAGGATTTCGGGCTCATCAACAGTGGCTAGAAAAGGGGGGACATTTGCATGGAAAGTGAGTGCAGGGTGAGTGGGACCATTTCCGGATTTGATTCGTAACACGGGTGCATTGTCGGAAGGGACTGTCGAATATAAGGTGCCACAGGGAGCTGATGAGGCCCAAGTTGAAGGTAACAGCAAATAATGAAATACAATGCATCCAGGTTCTGAGGGAGCCGAGTCTTTCAGGCGACTGTGCCACTGGGTGGAAAATGCAGTTTAATGCAGACAAATGTCAAACAGTCTCAAGGGAGGGTGGGGCAACATACCAAGAAGAGGGAACAGATTACATGGAACAGTCATGCAGCGTACTGACCAGGAAAGGGGCTTAGGGGTTATTGTAGAAAAATCCTTGAAGCCACCAGCCCAGTGAATGGCTGCAGTAAGAGAGGCAAACAGGATGCTGGGGTACGTCACCCGTGGGACAGACACAAATCAGAAGAAGTGACATGGTTACTGTACATGGCGCAGCCTACACCTCACCGACACTCACTGCTTTCAGCCTTGGTCACAAAGTGGGAAAACTACCCCGGGGGACTTATTTGGATGTCCCTGAGAGCCACAAGACTGGGTCTCCCCTTCGGCCACTCCGGTGTGCCCAACTCAGGGCCCGACACCCCACTGGAGTTTTTATTTTGCTGCCTGAGCCACTAAGGAGTCTGATCATACACATCTGCCATCAGTAGGCTACTTCCTGTCACCTCTCGGGCGATTTCCTCAGCGTCCTAGGAAGTAGCAAAGACGCAGACGTAAGCAGGTACCTGATTTATGGCCACACAACAGCAGGGTGGGGGGATATGACTTGTTCTCACTGAGAAGTCACAGCTGGGTCAGGGTGACAGTTTACAACTTCCCACTCAGACTTGAACTGGTACAAGCCTCTTTGTATCATCTCTCTGTTGACTGACCAACCATCAATCTTACACTCAGGCAGAATACAATAAGCATACAGCCTCCGGCAAGTGTGATAAAGAGTGTGCTTTTGGCTTTTGTTTTTTTCCTTTGAGACAGGGTCTCAAAGTGTAGTCCTGGTTGTCCTAGAACTCTATGTAGACCAGCCTGGCCTTGACATGGCCTCCGATTCCTGAGAGCTGAGATTATAGGTATGTGCCATCACACCTGGCCTAGGAGTTTGTTTTGAACATGAGGTTGGGTTTACATCTATGATTCTGAAGTTGAGACAGATTTTCGGGGAGAGAGGTACATGGGAGAACGAAAAGTCGGGAGGTGGGGATCACTCAGGGACTTTGAGTGTCTAAGGAACACCAAATAACGCAGACATTCAGGCAGCAAAGGACCCACACAAGGGGAACTGTGGCCCAATCCTGTCCTCAGCCTTTTCTGAGAACCATTTTGTTGGCTGAGACATCAAACCGTCACATCATCACACAGAAAACAGTGAAAGGAGCCAACTGGAGGGAGCCCAAGATGCCCTGATACCAACTGCCTTGCGAATGGGACCCAGTGCCACATGTCTGAGGAGTAGTTTGAGGATTAGTTAATCATATTGCCATCCTCCACAAGAGCAATCTGGATTAGGAAGGTGTCTGGTGTCTGTATCAGTTGAGTAGGGCAGCAGGGGAAGAGATGCCTACAGCATCCTGAGAAGAAAATGCATGAGAAGCAACTCTACTCAGACCATACTTCACTCTTCCAGAGAAGGTAAAGGAAGCAAGAGAAGGACTAGGCTTCCCTAACCAAGGTTTCTTGGACCAAGGGAAGCCATGTAGCCAACCTGTTTGTCAGAAGAGCTAGCCAGCTTAGACGTAGCAGGCTGAGGCCCAAATATAGAACTGAGATCACAGTGGGCTCAAACAACGAATGTGCTCACTAGTCATACATTTGTCACCCTAGCTTTGGATTTTTAGATCTGTGTGTTTAATATGGAGTACCTGTACAAGTCAGGAATCCAGAAAGGGCCCATGATAGAGGGGAGTGGAAGAGGCCTTGGGGTGGGTAGTAGACTATGTATGATATGAAAGTGTATGTGGGGTTCTGGAAGTTAGAGTGGGGATTGGGGTGGGAGAGGGAGAGGGAGGAGGGGATGGGATAGGGTAACTAAAACTAAACATGTATGAAAAAACCTCATGGAATACCACTACTTGGTGAACAAATTTTAAAATATACTTTTTTTTTTGTTAAAGGAGTCTGAACAGAAGTACCTTGTATGGGTGAACAATCCTTTCCCTAAAGACGTGAGTTATTAAATGAAAATCTTAGTGCCAGTGTGGGGTATCTTCCTACTAGCTGTTAGTTAGGGAAGCCCCCAGAAGCCTCAGAACATCCCAGGCTGTTATTGTCATTGCTCTCGGTTGCCCACAATAACCACAATAATAATAATAGGTAAGGCCCTATTACTGAAGCTACAGCACACTTTAGGTGCGGAACAAAGAGAATTCAAGCTGCAGTTGACCTAGAAACTTCCTTCTGGGTAGCATTCATAGTGCCAAAAGGTGGAAGAGCTCCCAATGGACTTAGGCAGTGATGATAGGCCCTCCAGCTCCAATACTAACCTGCCAGGCAGGATGTGCCCACTGGTACCCAATAGTGGCATGCCTGTTAGGGCATAACCAACTGCTTTCTGATTAGATTTGAGGGCTGTTCCATAGGAATGCATGCCTGGTGCTGTGAACACAGTCAGAAGCCCATGGCTGATGAGGTCACAGGCTGCCTGGTGCTGTAAACAGTCAAAAGCCCATGGCTGTTGAGGTCACAGGCTGCCTGGTGCTGTAAACAGTCAAAAGCCCATGGCTGATGAGGTCACAGGCTGCCTGGTACTGTAAACACAGTCAGAAGCCCATGGCTGATGAGGTCACAGGCTCTGCTACTGTTGTTTTGCTGGACAAACATGCTGTTTCCTGACTGTTTATGTTTATATCTTTAGGGCAGTGTCAGTCTTGGTCAGTGAAGCTGCTTTTTTGCAGTAAGCAGTAGTTACTGCAGAGGTTCATAACTGGTCAGAGTGCAGAGGATCAGTGGCTGGGAGTGCTCAGCATTAAGTGCTCATCGGTATCCACCCCTGCAAGGCTCAGGGGACATAATGGAAGAAAGAAATGGGTATGTACGAACCGAGGATGGGAGGATGCTGTGAGATGACTGTACTCATGAGTGCACAGCACAAGACCCATACAAGATCAAACTGGCCAGTAGATGCTGTGAGATGATTGTACTCATGAGTGCACAGCACAAGACCCGTACAAGATCAAACTGGCCAGTAACTCCAGCTCAAACCAGGGAGGGGAACAGGAGAATCCAACACTAGCCGAGGACCCACGGCAACTGATGGCTGCTGTGTGTGGCGACTGGGTAGGTTGCACGTGCAGGTAGCACTAACTGGACTCTGGGTGATATTTAAAATGGGGGAGGGAGGCTGCTGGTGAGCTGGCTCAATAGATGATGCCAACCCTGATGACCTGAGTTCAGTTCCAGGGCCCACATGGTAGAAGGCGAGAACACACTCTGAAAAACTGTCCTTAGACATCACATGTGTGCTCTGGCATATGTCCCCACTATACAAAATAAACAAATGAAATAAAAAATTCATTAGCCAGGCAGTAGTGGTACATGCCTTTATTTCCTGTACTTGCGAGGCAGAGGCAGGCAGATCTCTGAGTTGGAGGCCAGCCTGGTCTACAGAGTGAGTTCTAGAATAGTCAGGGCCACAGAGAGAAACTCTGTCTCAAAAAAAAAAAAAAGACACAAAAAGGGTCAGGCATGGTGGTGCATACCTTTAATCCTAGCACTTGGGAGGCAGAAGCAGGCAGATCTCTTGAGTTTGAAGCCACCTTGGTCTACACAGTAAATTCTAGAACAGCCAAGGCCACGCAGAGAGAGATGCTGTCTCAAAAACAAACAAAAACAAAACAAAAAAAAACCAAAACAAAAAAACCAAACAAAAACAACAACAAAAAAGGACATGAAGGGGGAGGGACGTGTTACGGGAGGTCTTAGGTGAGTGGCAGAAGGAGTTGGGGTTGATATTATCAAGATACATTGTATACATGTACAAAATTGTAAAAGTGTCAAAGAATAAAAATATTTTTAAGGAAAAAATTTCAGGCTCTCAATTACACAGAGTATCTTGGTAAGACTGACAGATGTTTGTATGGATGAGGCAGCAAACAGGTCCCAAGATATGCAAATGTCAGTCAATGCACAGAAGCCTGTGCCTAGTCATACAGACCCCGAACAAAGCAAGGAGAGGAAGCAATGTGGGTAGCCGCAGCCAAGGCAGTGGCTACTGCATGCTGGGTGTGGCAGGGGAGAGGGAAGGAAAAAGGTGATTCTCAGAGGCTGAGGACACTTAGCTCTAAAGATGGAGATGCGTGAGATGGCAGCCTCTGAACTCTTGCAGCCCGAGTGCCCACAGACAGGCTGTTGAGGAGGATGTTTTGCATATTGTATGTGGCATTTGTTCCAGGGTAATTGTCTACGAACCCCTCCTTTGTTAGAAGAGTAAGCAAGGGCTTTGGGCCATCTACTGAAATGTTTCTGGATGGCCTTAACTATGCTGGCAGTGGTCTGAGCAAGTGACGAACCCAAAGACTTAGTTCACTCGGGAACTTCTCATCCCTTATGTTGGCTGCAGTTGCAGGCTACCCTAGAAGTCAACCTCCAATATCCTTTCTGTCTGGAGAGGCTGTTGGCTCTCAGGGACACTCTTTGGAAAGAACAGGATCCCTAGGAAGAGACCACTACCTTGGTCAGTTACCATTCTCAACTCAAGGCTTTGGAGAAGGCTGCGAACCATAACTGCCCGTCACAGACAAAGGACATGGGTACCACAGCCCCTCCCCAGTTAGTGATGCAGAAGGACCTGTTCTGGAGGTGAAGACAGATACTCACCACTTAATGAAGTGGACCCTCTTGTTTCCTTGAAGAACAACAAACCCAAAAGGAGTGAAGGCCAGAAACGCAGCATTTCCTGACACATCCTGTAACAGAGAAAGACTTCTCACTGGACCATAGAGGTGCATGTAGAGAGGAGAAAGGGTGGTGGGGAAAACCTTAGATCCCAGCACTCTGGAGGTGGAGGCAGGAGGATCAGAGGCTCAAGGTTATCTTCAGCTACATAGTGAGTTCAAGATCAGTCTAGGCTGCATGAGAACCTTGTCTCAAAAGCCACAGACAGACACCCAGGCTATTCATAGGAGAAGCAGGGCAACCTTTAGTAGATCCCAAAGGGTCACACAGGACATTTAACAGCACAAGGCCATGGCTTTAGTTCCAGCCTTGCTGCTTGCCAGATGGTCCCCAGAGCTCTCTGTGTCTGGACAGTGGATGTGGTGATGATACCAGCCTCAGCAGGCCAAAGACAATGTTAAGGGCTCGTGCATTGCTGGTGGGATTTTAAAATGGTATGGTCACTTTGGGAAATAGTTGGGAAGTTTTTCCAAACAGTTAAATAGAGAGTTACCACATAACCCAATCATCCCCCTTCTAGGTTATATGCCCAAGATAATTGGAGCATGTCTACAGGTATATGAATGTTAATAGTATAACTATTTATAGTAGCCAAACAATGTGAGCAATCCAGTCTGGCTTGAAGAGTAAAATGTTCATCAATTGATAGGCAAAAAAGCAAGTGGCAGATGGTGGTACACTGGATTATTATTTAGCAGTAGAGAGGAAGGAGGTACTCATGTATACAACACAACTGAACCTTCAAATACCATGTCAAGTGAAAGAAGCCAGTTACCAAAAACCATGTTGAATGGTTCTATTTATACATAATGTTTTCAACAGGTAAACCCACAGACACAGAAAGTGTGTTGGTTGCCAAGGGCTGGAGGGAGAGGAAGTGAGCCAGTGACTGACAGTGGATATGAAGTTTCCTTTGGGTAAGGGAAGGAGGTCACAAAAATATTCCAAAATCAGACGGAGGTGGTGACTGAATATACTAAAAACCACTGGACTGCACACTTAAAAGAATGAATTTTATAATAGGTGAAGTGTGTGTGTGTGAACTATTACTAATCGGGCCTGTAATCCTAGCTACTCCCAAGGTTGAGGCAAGGAAGATCCTAAATTAAACATCTGCCTAGGCTACAGAGTTAAATTCGAGGCCAGTCTGGGTAACTTAATTAGAAAAGAGGGTTGGGGTGTGATTCAGTGGTAGACTACTTGCCTAGCGTGCGCCAAGCCCTAGGTCCAATCCCGAGTACCGCCAAAACAAAACAAAACAAAACAAAACAAAACAAAACTCTGCCCACAGAGGCAGGTTATCATTGTCTCGGTACCTGTAATACCATGGGGTTCATACCTCAGGGAAGTTTAGATGAGACATTGAGAAGCAGCAATTGGCTGAGTGGAACCTCAGGCCACCAGTCTAAGTCTGTCAGCACCAGGCTTGGGATTTCGTTAGCGAGTGACATGAAGAGGTATCAGAAAGCCTGGGGCCTGGAGCCCTCGAGTGAAGGAGTTCTGGGGGGAAGCGGCTGACTAATGGACACCCCAGCTTCCTCTGGACCAAGACATTGGGTGAGGAACTGCTTTCAGGATAGACGAGTGAGGATGGAGATGGCTAGCAAACTTGACCATCAAGTGGTGGGGGAGTTCTGGTTCTTCTCACCTCGAGAGCTTGCCACCCTGGCAGAGATACTTAGTCTGACTAGCCTCTGAGGTAATGGGTCCTCTGCAGGGCCAGTGAGCCCGGCCTCAGGGGAAAATGCATTTGCCCTAAAGCTGCCTCGTGAAGTCAGGTTTGCAAGTGTGGGCATCTGGGCCCGGGTATAAACTGGTTTCCAAACCTTTTGGACTAATGTTATCACCATCCTTTCCTCAGGACAGGGGAGATCCAGACACTTAGCTGTAAGCACACAGTGTCATTTAACCCACGGGCATAGTGAATGGCTTTTAAAGAGACACGGGCCTTGTTCCTTCTGCAGTCACATGGCTCGGCTTCCTCCTGCCTGTCACCAGTGCTTGGAGGGGATTCATGAGTACCAGGCATGGCACACAAGCATGGTTCCTGCCAGGAGGCAGCAGGTCTAATTTGGCTAACTTGGCATAAATGGGTTCAAGGCAAGTGGCATCTGTGGGGAGAATGCCTGAGGGAGGTAGCTAATCTCAGATAGAGGGTGGGCATTGGGAAGCTTTCTGTCTCTGTGCAGGGTGGACCCAAGGACAAGAGATGCAAGGGTAGAGACCTTGTGGTGTTTGCACTGTGTAGAACAGGCTACAGGCAGGTTTAGCAGATACGGTGTAGGACAGTGATGTGGGTCAGGGGACAGCAGGCTATGGGGGGCAAGTACATGTTTACAGGGATGAGTGAAGGCATGAAGAGACAGAGGAAGAAAGGGTATCTCATCAAGCCTTCTGAGACACAGAAAAGACCTAGAAGGAAGAGCAGCCAGAGGGTTGGGAGGGTCAGGCCTGGGGAGGGAGAGTATGTAACAGAGAAGCAGTGAGGGGGTGGGGATGGCTGTGGGGGGGGCTCCGCTTCCTCCACCCTTGCTAGTACATCAGTAATTGGGCAGAAAGACCCCCACCACAGGCCTGGTAGGTCAGGTCTGGCCGCACTGCATGACATATCCTTTAATTTCTCCATATCTTGGCTAGGGCTGTTACCTCAGAAGTTCTGTGTGGCAGGTGGCCATGTACACTAGTGGCTATGTCAATATGAACACAGATGCTGAGGCTGTTGAAATCCTGGCAAAACCCTAACATTTGACTTTCTCTTATTCGATGCCGACAGTTAAGATTTCCTAGTTAGGAAGTGGGTGTGGGAAGCTAGACCAAAAAAGGAAGTCTTGGAGCGGGAAGAGCTGGATGGTCATGGGCTTGAAGTGAGCAGAAGGGAAGGGGCCGGAAGTGAGAGCCAGTGAATGACATTGCTCTGGCCACAGCAAAGGTTAGAGGTGGCTGCTGCCTGCCAGGCTGTATGATCTAGACACCCTCAGGTGGCCTCCCAGTGAGGCCAGGGGTGGAGCTGTGGGGAATGGCCTCTCTTGACAGGACTGGTTGATTTGGAACAGTGAGTGTTTTATTTAGGATTTATATCACTGTGATAAATCACCATGACCAAAAGCAACTTGAAGAGGAAATGGTTTGTTTCAGCTTACGACTCTCAGGTCATACTCCATCACTGAGGGAATTCATTACAGGAACTCAAGGCAGGAACTGAGGCAGAAACCACAGAGGAGTGCTGCTTACTGATTTGTTCCCCATGGCTTGCTCAGCTTGCTTTCTTATGCAACCTGGTACTACCCCCCAGCTCCAGTAGTATTACCCCCTCCCACATCAATCACTAATCAAGATAACACCCACTTGTCTACAGGCCAGTCTTTCTCTATTAAGATTCCTTTTTCCAGGTATGTTTAGGTTTGTTCAAGTCGTCAAAAACCAAGCAGCACAGGCAGTGAACTTGGAATAAATCCTGGTGAGAAGCAATTAATTACCAGATATGGTGGTGCACACCTTTGATCCCAGCACTTGGGAGGCAGAAGCAGGCAGATCTCTGTGAGTTCAAGGCTAGCCTGGTCTACAAAGTGAGTTCCAGGACAGATAGGACTACATAGAGAAACCCTGTCTAGAAGAAAAAAAAAAAGAGAAGGAGAGGGGTAGAGGGAGAGAGAGGAAGAGAAAGAGAAGGAGGGAGGGAGGAAGGAAGGGGGGGAGAGGGAGAGGGAGAGAGGGAGGGAGAGGGAGAGGGGGAGGGGGAGAGGGGGGGAGGGGGGGAGGGAGGGAGGGAGGGAGGGAGAGAGAGAGAGAGAGAGAAGCAATAATGGAACCTTGAACAATTCCCTCCCAGAATAGAGGGCAATTCTCCAAGGCTTCCAGACCCACAGAGGGAGAGGAGAGCCACAGCAAGACCCTAGCACTCAGCACTCACAGTACTGAGAGCAACCACAGTGTTGGCTACTTGTCTCTGTCACATGAGCTTCAGTAACCAGCACAGGGTGGCACGTGGAACTACAGTGAGAAATCCCATCCATACTGGTATGGACGTCTAAGCAGAAAGCCCTTCTCTGGAACATTCCAGTGTCTTCAGTCTAACATGTCCTTCTGGTATTGGCCTGTGTGGTGGTTTGAATAGGAATGACCCTCATAGGCTCAGAGATTTGAGTGCTTGGTCATCAAGTAGCGGCACTATTTGACAGGAATAGGAAGTGTGGCCTTGTTGGAAGTGTGTCACTGGGGGGTGGGCTTTGGGGTTTCAAAAAGCCCATTCCAAGCCTGTCTGTCTCCTGCTGCCTGCTGATCTGAAGACCTCTTGGCTGCTTCTCCAGCATCATGTCCGCCTATACGCCACTATGCTCCTCCTCATGATGACAGTGGACTAAACCTCTGAAACTGTAGGCAAGCCCCAAAGAAACGCTTTCTTTTGTAAGAGTCGCCTCGGTCCTGGTGCTTCTTCACGGCAGCAGAACAGGGACTGAGACGGCCTGTCCTCAGGGTTTGAATGCCAAGTGACACTATGCATGGCAGAGAAAGGAAGGAAGACAAGAGTGTCTGGTTATTTCCTCCACTTAGTAACTTCCAGCTTAGTAAGCAGGAATCTGCCTGTCCCCGGCCATCCCCAGGAATCAGGGTCCACAGGACCGAGCCTTTCCTGGATCTAGGAGGGGAAGGAAATGGATACTGATGGCTTTACAGTTCGTATGGCCACTCTATCTCCTGACAGAAAACCCCGTGGTTCTCTTCTGCTGCTGCGAGGTAAGAAAGTTTACACATTTTCATCCTTGTGGAAAAAAAAAATCTCCAGTCTTGCTTTAGATCCCTAGCTCCGCTTCTCGTTGTCTCTGTGATGGACTTCTCCAGACCCCAGCTGCGTCACTTGTGAGACTGGGATAGTGACACAGACCTGGAACACTACCAACTTGTTTCCTAGACCGTCCGACTTAGTGCTATGGCATGGTCAACAGTGCTCTTGGAGAGGAGACAAGCTTCTGTTCATTTCCTCCTCAGACCGAGTCTCATGTGGTCCAGGCTG